TGTGTAAATTCTTCTCTTTGGCTTCTTGAACCAAGTGCTGGTGACAATCAGTCCATTTCGTTCACAAAAGTCAATAAGCATTTGACCCCTGTGATTCCGTCTTCCTAGTCCATGTGATCCAACAATATTCTGATATGGTTCATCTCCAACAATGCTATTCCAGTCTCCCAATATGATGCTGTTTGTGTCACCCCTTCCATCTTCCTGAAGAATTTCTTCAATTGTGTCATACACTTTTTCTACTTCTTCATCTTCATACTCTCATGTTGGCATGTACACTTGCATAATCAGTATATCTACCGGTTCCGCCTTTAACTTCAGAGGAATAATTCTGTCATTACAAACAATCTTCTTAACAACACTCCTCACTACACTTTTATGCACCACTATTGCCACACCTCTTTCAGCCCGTTCACCTCCGGAATAATACACTGTATAATCACCACTTCTTATTTCACCTTGTCCTTTCCACCGCACTTCGCTGACACCTAGAACAGATACTTCATTCTTCTGCATTTCTGTTTTCAAATTCTCCAATTTGTATACATACAAGATAAATAATCAAAATTTACAATATTATTATACATACTTATATACATTACACAGTACATTTAAAAGGATTAAATGACACTGGTTGTATCAAAGAAACCTGTCCTTCGGTTTAAAACTGACAAAGATTTATTTGTCATGATTCATAGTGTGGAAAGCATACTGACATGAGAAAAATGAAGTCAAAATCTCTGGTTATGCAGCCAAAAGTGCTCACGTTTTTTGGTACAGGATATCCTGGGAAAAAGCGGCCAAATTCAAGGAGATTATTAATCAAGTAATTCTGAATAATAAATGTCACATGAACATGAGTCCTGTTCACAACAGGTAATGAGTTACAGCTTATTAAAGATTGTTAAGGAAAGTAGACATAATGAAATGTGTGAAATTAAACAGTTTCAATGAAGGAGATGTATTTAAACTTTGTATCTTCAACTTCAGTAAGTTGTCTTTAAAAGAAATTTACAAGGCAATGTGAATGCAGAAATCTGTTTTGCAGTAACCTGTTCACATCCATAACATAATTACAGTCAAGTCACATGGCCACCAAGATGTCCACAACCTCCAGCACTGAAAATTCTATGGAGCGGTGCATCTTTTCACTTGGTTGTTCTCCATATACCGTTTTCATATGACCCCAAAAATAATAAAGATACTGCAAAGCAGCTGTGTAGACATTGCTTTGTAAAGTTCATTTGTAGATAACATTTTGTCATATGTATGAGTGACTGACTATATATGGGGTTTGGATATGTAATTTGGTTTATTGAACACTTACAGATCATAACTGCAAGTAACACTATCGCTAATTCACAGACTCTGCAGTTCAATACAGCAAGAGCTAAGTCTTCTCGGTCTGCTATATCATCACTGTTTGTCACCTGGTAACAGCTTCCCACATTGCACCTTCCTCAGTCTCTGTGTTCACGCCCTTATTCGCCAGCGACTGTCTCACAACAAACTAAACCCTACATTTGCCCTGCTTATAACGCCTCAGCATGGACAGCACAGAAAACACCTCTCCCAATAGTTCTTCTATTTTTATGCCACATAACTGTTGCACAGACCATGTAGGGAACACCCCTTCCCACTTACTCCACTGGTGTATGTTATGAATCTACTGAGGCCATTATCTAGCAACGGCCATTGATTATAAAGCCACTACCAAAAATAGGCTCTTATATAGCTGCTTATTTCAGGGTCATTGCCTAGCAACAGGTCTACATGCCACAGTATAAAGTCAAAGGTGCACAGTCTGAATATGCCCATCATCTTGAAATATTTCATTCAGTGTAATTCAATTATGTCCACCATTCTTTTAGTAATCTTTAATAAACCATAATTTCTTACCAGTTGTGAATAAGATGTATGTTTATACGACATTCATTATTCAGAGCTACTTGAGTGAAAACCTCTCATTCGGCCACTTTCTCCCAGGGAGACAGTGCATAGCTGAGTAACTGGACAGCTCACCTATGTCTGGCCCATAGCTTGACACACTGTATCTACTAGTGATCTAACACAAACATCAAGTGACTCAATAATGAATATATTGTTATGTGTCACAAAATAATCATCTTAATATCACCCACAAATTTTGAACTGGTGATCAGTATCTAATTTAGTCTGACTTCTGTCACATCTCAACAATGATTCACAGCTAAAAACATTTGCATATTACGTAATATATGACTCTCAGTAACATGCATAAACTTTGTCTCAAATATTTTTCAATTTTGTGCAAGTTTAATGAGACAAAAACAATAATTTCATTTTTAAACAAAATACAGTTCTAAATAGATGATAACCCCAAAACCTGTACTATGTCACCATGTTTTAGCATGGGTCTTGTATGTACAATTTTAGAAAAATCCAAGAAAGGGATCACGAGGGAAAATATGTGACAGGTGGAAGGAAAGACATATGAAATTGTTGCTTCCTTTTTGCAAAAAAAAAAAAACATTCTAATAGCAAAACAAAGAATTAGACATTTGAAAATTCTTCCTTCAACTTACAAGATATCCATGTCCATAATTATCTCACTACGTAATACATTGCGATCATATACTTTGATTCCTCCAATTCTCAGGGGCTGAAATAAAGAAAAAAAAAAGACATTTTCTAACATTTCCATTATGATTACTGTTAGATCACAAAACATTCATACACAGTGGTTATTACAATTATGATGTACTTTCACTTACTAAAAAGTCTTGTTTTATATGTCAGAAAGAATGCATAAGGATACTCACAATACTGCCAAGATTCATTCTTTCAAAACGGAATCCATTCAGTTTGTATGCTTCCAGGCTGGTGCGCACATTAGGTTCAATTACATCTTTGATTAATGTCTTGGCATAATGATTCACATTTGGCCACACCTGACGCAAAATCTGTGGTCATAACAGCACAAGTGAGAAAAATGAACAGACATTCAAGTAAAGTATGGAATATGCAACTGTCTGAAAACTTGACACAGGTATTGCACGCAATACTTATTTCATTACCTAAAATCATGCTGCAAGATTGGTAAGTTCTTCCATTCATTAAGAAAATGAACCAAGTGCACATAATGACACACACACATACAGACTCCAAATACTTTATTCACAGAATCCATTACCTTGAGAACAACACACTATGAAAAAATATTCATCTCATCAGTGGCTACACCCTCCATATAAAATTTCTAACATACTTAAACTTAAATTTAAGTATTTCAAAACAATTTCAATAAAAAATTACTGTTCTCAGAAATCATTTGCAATTGCATGTGCATATTCCCTGCATTCATACACCTTAGGCCTAGTTTCCATTAGAAGAAAAAGAAAAGATAAACCCATCATGGTTTCATTAAATAATCTGATGCTATCTGAAGCTAATTTAATTACAGATTAATACAGTAGTGCTTAATGAAGGCGAATAATACAAAAGCAGAATAGGTTAACATGAATTTAAGTGCTAAACATTCATATGCTGCCATTACAATGGAAATGTTTCTCCTCTAATTCATTAAAACCCATTTTGCGCAAAATGAAGTGACACTGCCCTTCACACAAAGATAACCGAATATAAATTTTGTCACCAAACTAACGCTTATCATTCATGCAAGTATGATAATCCATATCTCATGAATTTCCTTTTCCAGTGGCTCCTCAGATATGGGACCTGCCATTTCGGTATCTGACCTTCAGACAATGCAATGACTCACCCTATTAAGCCACTCAACTCTTTCTACATCTGGGAAGAACACCTGAAACAAGGGTGAGCAATTATTATTGTATGCAAAATGGAAGTACATTAATGCAAGCTCATTCATTACATTAAGCAAAAGAAGAAACTGGGAAGAACACAATGAAAAAATGGGCTGTGACAGAACCATCCCTTCAACCTCCAAAAATTAAGATACCAATACAGACAAACATGTATAGAAAGACATCTGAAACTATGAAAGACCAGCATTATGTAATATCCACAGGGAACTAAACAGGGCTTATATGGGAAGGAAGATGATAAGATGCACACTTACAGCATAGGCAAACATGATACACCCGAAAATAAAAATGTTAATTTCTCAGAAACTGCTCATCATACAAAATTATGTACATGGTATGACACCTTCTGTCTGGAGCATTATTTGTGATCTGGTGTATGAAATGAGATAAACTGAAAGTCCACTTGGGTCCATAAAGGTGCAATAGTAATAAACATTTGCTGTACAGCCCAAATTTATATTTTGCATGCATCTCTTTCCCACATTTAATTAAAATCCAGGAAAGTGTTCAGGAGGGTAAGGATGTGACAAGCAGACATGACTTCATGGTGGCTGACTGCTATTACACACCACCATTCTATGGCAGCTGTTTGCAAGGCTTGCAGCCATCTGTTTTAGTGACTATTATCGAAGGCACAGTCCCACAAACATTTTCCATCTCATCACAATCAAAGAATATTAATAAACAAGATCTTCATCCCATGATATCATATCAATTCATCCAGGGCACCACCCTACTCTAAATATCCCTTAGGATAACAAGGCCCATTTCACTTAAAAACTGTACATGGTTTGTAGAACATTAGATGATGCTGTATTGACAATGTAACTCCATCATGCAGGGTGTTTCATGAAAAAGCTGACAGTTACTCATCTGGTCAAGAAATTCCCTGTTATCATGGAACCCACAGGTTCATTACAGGCAAACTTCTACTTACAAACTTTCAATAACTGAGCAATTCATATTTACGAACATTGCAAGGACTAATAAATTATGATTCCCAAATCACTTAATGAACACATAACTGCTCACTTATGAACATTTTAACATATTAACATTAACAAATTTAATGGTAAAAAAAGTAAGCAAAGTAAAGCTATCCTTGCAACAGGCCATGAAGGTCCATTGGGTTGTGAGATGTTGAGTGTCCCACATTATCTAGACAAACGGCTCAAAGATGGCGGTAAGGTGGACAGCCTTACACCCCAGCCGTGCTTTACTCCCCAGGAAAATTATTTAATTAATTCCTGGTACTCATTTCTGTTAGAGGCTCAGTTGACCTCAGGGCCACAATACAGTTGGAAGGATTAGGTCAACTGAAAAAAAAAATCCAATGACCTCATCGGGACTTGAACTCACAACCTTCCGGCTTGTAGCATAGTGCCTCAACCAACTACACTACCAATTTAATGATATAACTTATGAAAAAAATAAATTCAACTTACAAACACATTTCAAAGAACATATTATGATCATTAGTTGCGGCTTGCCTGTATTATGCTCACAAAGCTCCATCATTAGAAACAATGTGAAGTTGAAGGAATCCCATACCCTTCATACATTCATTCTTTAAGCTCCTTTTTAATATAATTATGGTTTATTTAACTAAGTTTGGACATTATTGGTTATAAAGGGAAAGATAAACTGTTGAACTGAGCACACAAGTACATTTTCCACCTTATCTCTTCCAGAAATGACTGACTAGAGCTCTCAGAAAGGATGAGGGTTGCGGCCTAATAAGTAACTAGCCTATCTGGGGCATTGTCTGTTTCCTCCTAATCCAAGCGCAGTGTATAATTCAATATGTAATTTTATTACTAAGATCTTTTAACATTGCTTTAGGCATAAAAAGAATTCAGAGAAGGCTTGATATACACAGTATCTATAGTTGCAATAACACGTTCAGTTATTCAAAATTGTTTTCTACCCTTATCCATTCTAGGCCATGAACACATGCACACACAGAGGGCAAACATGAGGATAACAAAGACAGGCTGATAAACAATACTGCCAGATTGGTAAAAACAAACATTGGGTCATTAATTTCAGTTTTACTCCTTGGTTGTGAAGACACTACTTCTACATTTTTTAACACGTGGGGAAAGAATTATCCAAAAGCACAGTTTCAAAAACATTACTGTATTGTTGAATGAACATTCTTACCCATGAAGGCAAATCGTCAACTCGAGCTAGTATGACTTCTTTTTCATTGCACAAAGCTGCTGCTTTGGCAACATTCCTTCTCAATTCATTCTCTTTCTTCCACTCCTCTCGGATTACAGACAAAACCACTGGACCAATTAACCATGCAGCACTGAATTCAAAATACCCTATCAAATACACGATTGCAACTGTGCTGATCTTTTTTGCAAAACTATATAACACACTTAAGATACTTGTTCCGCCGATTTTCTTTCGAACGATTGATTCAGTTTTTTCCTTACTGGCTCCTGTCATTTTTGGTACGTAAATCAACCTACAAAATTCATCAAAAAGCACGAATAAGACACCTGTCCACACTACCACACCCAACACTTGTAATTAGGCCGTAGTAGACTACCTCTTACAGCACACCCACTCTCTTCGCTCTCTTCGGTCTGTGGCATATTAGTAACGTAATCACTAATTTTAACGCAAATGAGTCATAGACGTCAGAGACCAATACACAGAGCACACACCAACCTCAGCGGCACACGGCAGCAAACACGCTAAAGCACTTCCGCGCGCTGGCTGGCAGCAATGCTGCCGTGACGTCACGATAGCATTGTTGCTTCCATCTACTTTGAGCCAAGATAACTAGGTTAAAATGGCCGCCAGCACATATAGCATGCACCGAGAGCTCAATCGGTAATAAGGTATGCTATCATACCAGTGCCTTTTGTGTACTGCTCTGCGCTAACGGTGGGAAACTGGGACAGGGCCGCGGATTGCTTTCCACGCTTTAGCGACATCTAAAATTCAGTTTCTGATTTACTCAAACCGCGCCAGTGCAAATAATTCCAATTATTCGTGAGAGACATAGAGCAGTCGCCGAGCCACTGACTCCCACCGACCTGTATGAACAAAAAACAAGCATATTTTATAAAATACTTACTTTGGTGACGGAAAATTTGACTGGTATGACGTCATGGAACTACTTCCAAGAGCACAACAATGAATAATTTCACAGTCCTACTACTTGTACCATAAAAGACCTTACCTCATTTTTTGAAGTGACTATTGTGAACTGGTTTAACCTGTAACCGTTCATTCTGACTGGAGGACAGTTGTGTGTAAATTAAATTTGTATTAAGTTAAGATTACAAACAAAGAGATCCGGCAGACAGCCAGCTCTTACACGCGGAAGGGACATAGTTCAAGTTTTGCTATGTGGACAGGAAGTAACATCTGGTAATTTCCTAGAATTCTGGCAGTTTCAGCAAAGTCGGAAAGGTTTGAGAAAATGAGAGCTGACAGCTTGGGACAGCGATAACTTAGAAGTGGGATGGCCGGAGCCTCACACCCTGACCGTAATGCATCAAGGGGCTGTCAACCTTAGCGCAGGTCAGCATCTGCCAGAATCACATAGCAGAGCAACATGATTGGGAATTCAAAATTTAGGGAACCTCCTAGTTTGAAAACTTAACCAATGGCAGAAGTGGAGGAGTGGATTTCTCTTGGAGTCTGGGGTTCGTGGACCTCAGGATTCAGAGAGAGGGATTCCACCTCAAGGAGTATTGACACAACTTTCGGCAAAGTCGGGCACAAATTTTACAACTATGTCCCTTCCGTAAAGTAGTATAAGTAAAGTGCAAAATAAGTGTATTAATAAATTCAGTTATATTCAGTATGCTGGAAGGGATTAAATGACCAATAAGGGCAACGGTCTAAAGAGGTGTGTGTGTGATTGAAGCAGAAAGGTTCTTCCTGCCCTGCCCGAGCCAGACCCGTATAAGACCCGGGATAGGAACTCAGCTCTACAGATTACTAAACAGAACCCAAAGAAGTGAGCGGTGAGAAATCCATGTCATTTTATTCATATCAGGAAATGTTTCTCAGCAGTCTCCATAAAGAAGTATAAGTGTTCCATCTGCACCAACAAAAAATGAACTGGGCTGTTTTAAACCGCGTCATGCACATATTCATGAGTGTTTAGGGCAGCTGAAGTACGGTGAACTCGAATGCAATATTTGCTTAGATAAGTATCTTTATTCAACCTTGCAATTTTTGTTCACAACTTACAATTGAAAGCTCTGTCAACATAAGTTTCCTAACTTATAGATTCCTAAGCAACAGCCCCATTTTGTATTAAATGTCTACATAGTGAATATCAACTTTAAATGCAATGCTCATTGGGTAGTGTTGCTAGTAAAGTTGATACGAAGATCGTGTAACACACTGGAGGTACGTTGTTTTCTGCGTTTATGCATTGTTTATATTACGCAGTACTGTGAAATATGAAAATGATGCTCCAATTATCTGAAAAATAAAACCGCTGTTTAACACTTCTCATATCGCATAATTATTAATCTAAGTTACCTTCATTATTCTACAAAATATTAGACATATGAACAGAAGGTGTGGAATACGTCACGGGTTTTAATACCTATTTGACCTCGGTTTAATTGGTTTCAATACAAAAATCTGATATTGCATCAGTTATATTCTCTCAGAACAGTCAAACAGAATCTGAGGTAAAAATTTGAACACTGCGACTGTGTTCCGCTGACTATCAAGTTGCGGTTAGAGACTTCTACACATCCAGTCTGATTCCATTCCATCAGCTTCTGAATTATTTGAGAACCCTCCTGTCCATGACGATCGTCGAAGACGGCTGGGAACCAACGAGAAACTTCTGAATTCGCCTATAAAAATATACTTTCGGAGTTCTACGGCGTCTGCCTCATGCAAACGTAGAAGTGGAGTTAAGCGGATGGGTGGAAGACACAATAGAACATACGCTAAACAGGCATTTCAATGGTGTCATGGCAGTAGTTAAATAGTAGGATCAGGATCTTCACCGAGTTAAGTAGGGAGCCGAAGGTAACATTATTCGTAATAGAAGTGACTGGATGCGACACAGGCGAATAAATGTGGCCTGGAAGCCATACGCCTGAAGTTTAAGATGCAATTGGAGGCCGTAGAAGCCCAAACGGCACACAGAGGAGGCGCGAGCACAGAGACAGGAACTGCCATTGTGAACCCGCTGAAGTTTGACGGTTCATCTTGGACAATGTTTCGCGGAGAGTTTCAGGCTGTGATTTATCACAACGGTTGAGCAGCCCGTAAGAATAGGCATCTACTCGCCAATCTGTGGGACAAGCTGCCGATATCCTACCCAGTGTTCCAGCCACGACGACATTTGAGAATACAGTCAAGTCGCTGAAGGGCCATTATGATATTACGAGTTGGTGGAGTCCTACGAGTTAAAACTTAAAGCCAGAAGTCAGCTGAGCGTCAACTCGCTAAAAGAATTCGCAGAGTCTTTCGAACAGTTGGCCTACTGCTTCCTTGTCGAGCTACCTGAGGATATTATCAAGAGGAAGGTGGCCTATGCATTAGTCGGTGGGGTGAAGGACCAGGATGTGAAGTGGCACCTCCACATTGGAGGTCAGAGGTCCCACAGAGAAGCCCTTAACTAGGTCCTGAAGCAGGTGGTTTCGAATCACCAGCACGTCTGAAAAAGATAAGCATTGGAGAACACATGAGATCACAGTTGTCTGCTACCAAGAGCCGTAGGACTGGACGATACGTATGCTGGTAATGTGGTGATATTGGGCATCTCAGAAAAGACTGCCGACAGAGACGTGAAGAGAAGGATTGTCTGAGATTAAACCAACTGGCATTAGAGAAACGAATAATGGATGGCATGAGGAAGGCGCGGACATCATAGTCCTCTGTCTGCAGACTGTCCCTGACCTGAATGAAGAATAAGTGGAGCTGACGCTGGGACGGAATGCGCTGTGAATTTGGATGTTCATTGCAAATATCATCTGAATTCACCCTGGGACTGTATGTCCTACGAGCTTGCGACGTGGCGGTGGATTTGAAATATCGAGTCCTGGGACCGGGCGAAGAAGTGTCATTACAGTGTCCTGGGACACGACTACTTTTATTTCTTCGTAAGATGCCCAGTAACGAAGTAATGCCAACTCAATTTGGGAGAGTCATGACTGCGCGGCTGGAGGATCTCCTGGAGGCGGTGAATAGACTAGTGGGACCAAGACTGAAGAATGCCCACCAAAGAGTGTACGGGGGCAAGACTGTGGTTCAGCTTTGATGAGAGATACCTGTTACGATGTCTGAACATAGGAAAGGGCAGAAGCGCACCAATGGAGATGAACACTCTAAAAGACACTACGTCAAGGCCTGAGCTCAGATCCAGAAATTTTAACGATGATCAGGCTGCTGGAAGTGGCTAGGATCGTGACGCCCTAAGGAGAAAGTGACTGGATGACGTCGACATCAGACCGACTGAACGGGAATTTGGGGCTGAACTGCGTCCTAAGTGGAAAGATACTGGAGACCGCAGTTCCATTCACAGCAGTTACATGACACAGTGGAACTCCGTAGTGGTGAAGGGGGCAGTATTTAAGCATAATTGGGAGTCGGCAGACAGATGTTACAAGACAGCCAAAATAGTTCTACCTTGGATCAAGGTGAAGGGAGTACTTGGAGAGCTCAACTGCTGATCTCCTGGAGGCCATCTGGGCGTTAACCAAACCCTGGACAAAAACCCAATGGCAGAAGCCCTCGCTGCATGCAAGGAGCGACATCAAGAGTTGGAGACAACAGCATGACACCTGCATAGCTCACTGAGGTCCTCGAACCCGAAACCTAGTCCGGAATACATCACAATAACAATAAGGTGCTATTCGACAGGATCGACAATAACAGGATGAAGGTGTGCTACCAGAAACTAGCAATTTCTAATGGATTCCAGTAAGGAGAACTTGTCTGGTTGTACAGCCCCAAACTGGACATGAAGGAAGTAGCTTAAGTCCCTGAATTCTTGAGAGGGCCCTTACAAAGTGATCACCCAGGCAAACGATGTCATCTGCAGGGTCCAGTGTCATCCGAGGTCGAAGATGGTGGTGGTATACCTGACAAATTGGCTCCATATCTAGTAGTTACTAGGGACAAGTAGCCTTGGGGAAGGAACAGGGTTGTATGAGATGTGCACCTCCCTTGATACTTCTAGATCCCTCAGTTTTTTAATTCTTTGAGAGCCACCAAGACCACATTGATGAAGACAGCAGAGAACCAACTAGAAGCTACTAGGTTAACTTTGCCCATAAAAAATGTAATTGTGAATTTTGACATTGCTAGCCTCAATGTGAACTAAGAAGCAGAGTCAAGTGGATGTGTGTGATCCATATGAAAGAAACTAGAAGCTGAAGTGCTATGGCTTACAAGTTGGTTCAGTGCAAGGTGCAGGAAGGGGAGAGTGCAGTAGTGTATGACAAAGTACTAGTGAGAAAATCACTTTTCCGAAATAATGATACATGTTGCAGTATCACACATTTGAAATGAAATGTATCACTGAAGTCTCCAGTGCTTATTGTCAGCAATATTATATGAATCAAATGCTGATGGTAATTATAATGCTGTATTTAATTTAATGCAATAGATGGGTCAAAAAACTAAACTGAAAACAAGAAATATACTAACAATCTATAAGCAATGGAGATTATTAGTTCCCATCATGTAAATAAAAGGAAGGGAGAGACAGACAGACATGAAGTACAGAAAAAATAGAAAATAACTTCTTTGCCTTGGTCAGGTGACACATTTGTCAGCAAAGGGCACTGTCAACTGTAAATACTGTCTCAGGCATTTTGAAAATGTTATATTCATAGCATTTTTTAAATAATAAATAATTTTAGAATGACCTTACCGCCCTATATGTCTCCAGTGACATAATATACAGCTTGCCACCTGTGAGATATGATGGCTTCATGGAACGTGATATCATGATCCTCATATTCTTTCTGAAATACATCGAGGCATCAATCCAGGGGGTGTCATATATAGCCTTTGTCAGGCTGTCACTCTGTAAGTAAGTGCAATAGTTACTATCAGACTGTACAGGTATCCAAATCAGTTTATATGTAGCGTTCTTTTCCCTTCACAATTTGCCTAAATCAAACATGTGGACAGAAATATGCAAACTAAGGACAGATTTAAATGTGAGATCCACATTCCATATTTTGATGTGGTGTACACAGATCATTACCATTACACAATCAATAATTTGTAACACCATAATCTACTACCAACACCAAAAATGACATCATCATCATCATCATCATCCTCATATTTCGTTCTAGTAGATATATATATATATATTTTTTTTTTTTTTTACAAAATTATCGAAGATCTTTATTAAAATGTGGAATGTTACATGGACTAAGCATTCCCAAATGTTTGTTTCAAAATGCCTTCCCTGCATACTTTGGCATAGAAATCTCCTAACAAATTTTTGTGTGGTATTTAGGGAATTTATCGAATACATGTTCTATTTCTTTGCACAACCTGTCTTCACATAAAAAATAAAAAATACAGAATATGAAAAACACAGAGTGGTCATATAAGGCATTCAGATGATTCAAATAGATCCACACATATACACCAATATGTCCATTTATGATATGTATACATAACTTTGAGCAGATTTTGAGTCATTTTTAGATAACAGGAATTCATCAACAGAATAGAATGAGCGTGTATCGCAATATCTTTTTAGCTCTATTTCAAATTGTTCGTTATAGTTCATTAGACCTTTAAGACTACATGCTAGATTGTTGAACATTTTTTATGCTTCCATAATATGTAGGCTTCTGAAAACATGACAGTTTAGAAATTGCTCTAGGAAGGTGGTGCTGGTTCCTGGCATTAACACTGTATATGACTGGATTGGAGGGACATTTGGCAGCATAGGTGGCTGAGGCACTATGCTACAAGGTGGAAGGTAGCGGGTTCGAGTTTCGATGAGGTCACTGGATTTTTCAATTAACTTAATCCTTCCAGCCGCATTATGGTCCTGGGTTTGACTCAGCCTCTAACAGAAATGAGTACCAAGAATCTTTCTGGGGGGAAGGGGGGAAGGCGGCCGGCGCGTAAAACTGACAACCTCACCACCCTCTGTGAGACGATTGCCTAGAAAATGTGGGAACTTCGACCTCTCACAAACCTATAGGCGTTCACGGCCTGTTACAGGGATAGTTTTACTTTTTTTTTTTTTACCTTTTTATAACTGAATTAGTCTGAACATATTCTTGATTATTTACAATGAAGTTCATTAATGAAAATATGTGTTCAAATGGAAGCAAAATCTCTGCTCTCTTAAATGGACCACTAAACTTTCCCACGATTTTCTCTTGTAATATACTCATAAATATCTTTCTGCTGTTGCATGAGATACTCCAGAAACTTATTCAATAATTTCCTATGCAGTGAGAGTAGGCAAAATGAGTTGATTTGAGAGAGTATCAGTGTTGCCGGTATGTAACACAGATCTAACTGCAAAAGATACCCAACTTAATTCAGAAACCAACTGGGTAGCTATAAATTTATAACCCATGGAATTTTCTATAATTATTGCACTTTTGGACATTATGCATACTCCTGTTTTTTATGTAAAACAAAGCGTTTCAGAGACTATATTCTCTCTCCGTCCACACGTAAAAGCCTACTCTATTGGGTTCCATCGATAAAGCTAGCCCTACCTCTGCAAATAGGCTTTTACCTGAAGATGGTGACAAAAAATCCAGTCTCCGAAAGATTGTGTTTAAATAGAAACATGATGATGGGTAAGGTCCAAATACTCAATAATTATATTACATTAATAATATTAATAATAGTTAATAATATTACGTAAAACATCATCACAGACTTTTAAGATATGAAGGAATTCCGTGTTCATCGATCCTTCTATACATTTATCACAACATCCAGTCTTGAATGGATATTATGGAAAATCATTTGTTATAAATTTTATTGCGTTTCTATTCGTTGTATTTTTATGTTGTTACTGCAATCCGCTTAGTTTCTAAAGATCAGAACCTCCTGGCTGTATAACATATGAGAGAGACACTGAATTCTATTACCTCATAGGTGAGATCATTTCCATACCAGCAAAAAAGCAAAAGTTGTGATAGAGCAACAGCCAAGAGCCCGCAGAAACTTAGCTGGTCCATAACTCCATCACTATCCAGATTCTGCAAAATATAATTAATATATACAGGTACATTATAGCAGCTTTTGGATTTAAACGATGCTAGATATAAACATGTTAATTCAGTAAAACTACAACCTGAACTGAGTATTAATGCTGTGACAAAGTGCTTCTAGGTTAAATTTTCACCACAAGGTGATTGTTTCCTGAATAGCTATTTGTTACTAACTTATACAGATAAGGTAAAGGTTAAGGCAAAGTTGTTCCTATGCTCAATCAATTAAGCACTATGCCACAAAGGCGTATGTGGGAGTGGATGTATACATCTACATTTTCTTGACCTCTGCATTAGCCGGAGATGAGTGTTATAAAATAATCAGATAACAAAGGAATTAAAACGTAACTCCACATGGAGCTGGGTCTTTAAACAAATGAATATAAGTAATTCATGTCAATCTGTCTGGCTGGCATATTACATACTTCTCAGGTTATATCAAAACCTGTGATTGGATAAGATCTTTAGGTATTGGAATTAGTTCACATTCTCACAACTTGCTCCCCCAACATGGATGTTTTGTAAGCATTTTAGATTATCCTCATAAAAGTTACACATATCACCAATATTATGCTTCTTGATTTAATTATTCTAACAGTATTAGGTGCAAGGTACAAATACTGAAACATTTCATTATGTAGTTTTCTTCATTTTCCCCTACTGAAACTCTCTAAAAACATGAGTTCGCATGTCCAGTGAATCCCCGTGAATGTCATGCAGCAGCTGCAGCATCTACAGGTATTGCAATAGACGGGGATGATTCGGCTATTGTAGTACAGTGCGGCAATTCTTGTAGTAATTACGTGGATTCTGAATGTGGATGTTGTAACATTTGTGGCCACAGCAACGAGATGAAGATACAGGGTATATTTATAGTAACTAGAAGAGTTCACGGCTCTGCGCTTCACCGTTACCAGTTCATCGCCGGCCGCGAATCGCACGCGATTTTTGCTAATGTCGCAGCATGTTTGGGGGCCGATAACATTTGGAATGAAGGAAAATAATTACTTGTAGACCTCTACATAGTATTATGTTACATAGTGTGCAGTGCGGTTAATTTATGGGAGTTTATGATTTGTGAGGAGTAGGCAGTAGTTATCAGCGCCTCGAGCCATTTACGAGTATTCCCAGGTAACAGCCAGTCAGCAGTGTGCCACGACATGGTTCACTATGCTTTAGAGCAACGCGTATTTCTGCGTGACACCTACGTGAAATACGGATCTGCTGGAAAGTGTTGGCGAAAATTTCGTGATGAAAGAGTTCCCAGCAGACAAGCAATTCATAATTTGGTGGATAAACTTAAAACAACGGAACTCTTAATAGACAAGAAAACAAAACACAAGCGTCGGGTGTTTACTGAGGAGAAGTTTAGATGACATAGGGGCCAGACTTAGACATTTTAACTAGAAAGTCATTAAAACGTCTAGGTCAAGTGACTGGAGTGTCAAAGTCTAGTGCAACAAAATCGCTGAAGCTTAGACCCTATAATACAACAGTAATCCATGCCTTGCAGCCGCGAGATTCAGCTAGCAGGGTACGTTTTTGCAGTTGGTTTCTGTAGTCTGCCGTCGAAGGTGAGATTGATCTGCAATTGACATTCTTTTCTGATGAAGCATAATTTCACTTGCAGGAATACATAAATACGCAAACTAATCACTACTGGAGTTCACATAATCCACATCTAACACATAAACCCCGCTTCATTAAGTGAAAGTTGCTGTCTGATGTGCTTTAAGTGCAAGAAGCATTGTTGGACCTGTGATTCTTAACGAAATAATTAATTGTGAAAGATATGTACGGGATATTCTCGGGTAGTTCTTTTCAGAGTTAACAGAATAAGAAAGACTCTATGGCTGGTTTCAGCAAGGCTCAGCTACTGCCAATACTGCACGTATATCTACGCAGACTCTGTCCAGTGTATTCGGTGAGAGAATCATCGGCAGTGATATTTGGCGAGCACGTTCACCTGATCTTAATCCTTGTGATTGTTTCTTCTGGGGTTGCTTGAAGGACAAAGTTTACAGCAGTAACCCCCAAACGGAAAAACTGAAAGAAAACATTTGTAAGGAAATTTCAAATATCCCTGCAGAGCATCTTCAGAAGGTAAATAAAAACCTCTTCGCCGGTACGAGGAAGTTCTACGTGTATAAGCACAGCATTTTCAACACCTCTTGTGATCTGTGAACAAAGGTAAGAACTTTCCTTCATTCTAAATGTGATCGGCATGCCGAGACATCGGTAAATTTTGCTTGCGGTGCGCCCGTCGCTGTTGAGCGCAGAGCCGTGAACGTGTCAAGTTCAATAAAAGTACTCTGTAAATTTCGCTACTGTATTATATGTATTAACATATACCTTCTTTGTAGAAGACACAAACTTGTCAACTAGCGGAAAATTTGCAGGAATTGTTTCTGCAACACGGTGCAACCCATGGGGAAGGCAAGTCAAATGAGCCATGTTTGGAAATATAACTTTAAGAGAAGTTTCGGCTTTGAGCATATAATTTGCGGCATCAGTTATTATTGGAAAATTCACTAAGTAATATTGAGCAGTAGCACTTTTCGTGGATTTAATTTTAATATTCTCTTTGTGCGACTGACCGACCGAGCGACCGCCACTTGTTGGCGAAGTTAGTGCCAACTTTAGCGGAGAGAGGGTGTCGCGTGGTCAGCGCAACGAATCCCCACGGCGTTTTATTTCGGGTTTCTAGACCGGAGCCGCTATTTCCTTGAAATAGCTCCTCAATTATCCTCACGAGGCTGAGTGGTATAGTTCGCTCGCGGACTTAAGCCACGGAGTTTTGTTTCTTTTTATTCTCTTTGTGTACGAGTATATTAGTGTTCAAATGCTGAAGCACCTGAAAGCGTTTTTCACAACTTTTTTTTTCAAAATCTCGGCAGCAAAGAATAGTTATCATCTCTCCTTCGAACTCCCGCTGATACTGCTGTAATTTAGTTTTATGACTTAGTTTCACTTTCGGCATGACTACAGAAAGCTAAACAAACTAATCACAGACTTGTCACCACTAATATAAATGACCCCCAACTTCAAATGAAGAAGCGTAGCGAACGTGATGGAGACTTTGGAAATAAATAAATTAAGTCCATTATCTGTTGAATAATATGTATTGCGTTGCTAGCAGCTACGTGTGAACACGCATCCGACGAATCCCTTCGCAGCCACTTCGAAGGTACGCGGATGAGACAAGGTACGAGTAGAGAGGTCGGGAATTCCTGTCTTGGGGAGTCCCGTCCTGGGTATTGAATCAGAAACATGAATCCAGACTAAACTTGCTATTTGTATGACGAAATTGTTCGAGTCAAATATACAGCATATCCTAATACGGAAAAGAAAAATTGTATACACACGACGATGATTGAAAATTATCATAAAGTTAAAAAACATATATGATAAATATATTGAAAAGAAAATATGCAACATATATAAGGATCGTCAAAAAAAGTAGAATTGTCCCTGTGTTTAACGAATTAAGCACTACGCCATGAAGGCGTACGGGGGAATGGATGTATAGACCCACGTTTTCTTGACCTCGGCACTGGTCGGAGGTAAGTGGTCAGTTTCACACCCCTGCCGCTTTACCCTCGGAGAAAGAGCNTAGTTCGCTCGCGGACTTAAGCCACGGAGTTTTGTTTCTTTTTATTCTCTTTGTGTACGAGTATATTAGTGTTCAAATGCTGAAGCACCTGAAAGCGTTTTTCACAACTTTTTTCCTCAAAAGCTCGGCAGCAAAGAATAGTTATCATCTCTCCTTCGAACTCCCGCTGATACTGCTGTAATTTAGTTTTATGACTTAGTTTCACTTTCGGCATGACTACAGAAAGCTAAACAAACTAATCACAGACTTGTCACCACTAATATAAATGACCCCAACTTCAAATGAAGAAGCGTAGCGAACGTGATGGAGACTTTGGAAATAAATAAATTAAGTCCATTATCTGTTGAATAATATGTATTGCGTTGCTAGCAGCTACGTGTGAACACGCATCCGACGAATCCCTTCGCAGCCACTTCGAAGGTACGCGGATGAGACAAGGTACGAGTAGAGAGGTCGGGAATTCCTGTCTTGGGGAGTCCCGTCCTGGGTATTGAATCAGAAACATGAATCCAGACTAAACTTGCTATTTGTATGACGAAATTGTTCGAGTCAAATATACAGCATATCCTAATACGGAAAAGAAAAATTGTATACACACGACGATGATTGAAAATTATCATAAAGTTAAAAAACATATATGATAAATATATTGAAAAGAAAATATGCAACATATATAAGGATCGTCAAAAAAAGTAGAATTGTCCCTGTGTTTAACGAATTAAGCACTACGCCATGAAGGCGTATGGGGGAATGGATGTATAGACCCACGTTTTCTTGACCTCGGCACTGGTCGGAGGTAAGTGGTCAGTTTCACACCCCTGCCGCTTTACCCTCGGAGAAAGAGCCCCCGGTACCAATTGGATAAAAGGCTTGGGGGGCCCCAGAGCCGGTCTTGACGACATGGGGAGTGAAAATTCTTTCCCCCACCGTGACTCGAATTCCGACCTTTTAGTAGTCCAGCCCCGTAGCCAGTCGCTATACAGACTGCGCTATCCCGGCTCGTCAGATCTTCGAAAATATTATTCTTATTATAAAACAAATAAGATATTAATTTATATGCACCATCAAACGATGCCTAAAATTTAAGAAAAGAAGGAATTCATACATATATCCAAATGAGCATACTTTTAGCTTCAAGAAAGAAATATGCATTCGCATTAAAATCCAGTCCGTATTCATCACATACTGTGACAACATTACTTCACATATGCCCTTGCACAGTGCACAACAGGATCCACCACATCCTCATTGACACTCCAAAAGGCACTAACCCAGATCTGAATTCTGAGAGAATCTCTGCGACGTACTCTGAGGAGCGATAAATCTCGCAGGTACGATCATTTCTTGTCACGCAACCTATATCTTCCGACGCGTCGTTTAGGAGTTATACGCCCCAGTTTCAATGTTGTATAGGTAGGTACGTGTACACAGCCAGTATACGTCAAATCTGTTTATGTTTATGTTTACAATGTTGCACCAAGTGATGACGCCTTTTCCTCGCCTCCTGCACTACGTCTGTGTAGGTAGTAGATTACGCGAGCAATAATTCGCAGTCGTCCATCGAGAGTGGACGTCTTTGATTCGTGTGGCCAACGCGATCACCCGACTTAACGCATGTAAAGAATGTAGTGTACGTCACCCCAGCTGACACCAGAGACGAACTACTTTTGAACAAATTCAACACGGACCTCAAATGTTCGAGGGTCCGACTGTCACTGCTATGATTGTGTAATGAATGTAATCAGTTTCAGGGTAAACGCTTTGAACACCATCTGTAAACTGTCCGCAAAGGTACTTGAAGAAATAAATGAATGATTCATTTCATAATTGTAAATGTTGCCTAAGACCTGTCTTCTCTTCGATGTCGCGTTGCTCATAAACGACCTCGTTAGAGAACACGGATTGATTGACAAAAATATGACACTTCCAGCGAGATCAATCGCTCCTCAGAGTTTGTCGCAGAGATCCTGGTTCACTCTATAGATTGTGCTATATAAAAATTAAGGCAAACATGAAAGAGAATTTGCTTCTGCTGTCACTGTTGGCTCAAAGGAGAGAAAGATCTATAGAACCTCTCATCAAGACAATTTACAGTCACAACCAGAAAGAAGGGAGAAGATTGGTTAGAAGGAGGTTTGTGGGAGTGGCATGTTAAGGAACAGAGGGAGTGGAATATGATATCAGAGAGGCCGCAGAACACAGATGAGTGTACAATTGAGCCCCATGAGCCAGCAATGATGTTGCACGACTTCGCCTGTAACGGAAGAGCAACAAAATAATTTGTTTCTTCCTTCAATTCATCTGTTTAACTCCTTCCCTCTTTTCCTCCTCGTTGCTTTCACATCCTTGTTACTCATCAGTCCTATTGTCATTCTCTACACTTTTGTTCTTTCTTCTCCTTCATGTTAAAACTGCTCACTCATTCATGTTCTTCCATTCCTCTAGCCCTTCATTTCCTCTCTTCCTTTCTTCCATACTCTTTTTGTTGCCCTTTTATTTGTCCATCTTATTATCATTCCTCCCTTCATATCCTAGTAATGATAAATGATACCTTAGCTTTCCCCCCAAATTGTAGGAAGGGTTGAGTGGGGTTTCCCTAAGCATGAAAGGCACTAAGTATTATTTACACGTAGATTCTTCAGTTGTCCGTTTCTTAATAACAAGAAAATTTCACACCTGGGTTTATTTGTTCATTATTCTCACGAGTATTAGGTTTATATGACTTTTCTTTCTCCTTGGCACTACAGCCCCCGTGGGCCTAGGCCTACCTCCATGAACTTCTCCGTTCACTTCGGTTTTTCTAGATCTTACACATTCGGTAGGACTCCTTGGGCGGGTGATCAGCTCGTTGCAAGGCCTCTACCTGTACACAAACACAGAAAAGCGCGCACACACACAGACTAAACATTCATTCCCTGAGTGGGATTCGAACCCACGATCCCGGTTTCCAAGCGAGCGAAGACAGTACATGCCTTAGACCGCCCGGCTACCGTGACCGGCTTATATGACATATGTGACTATGAATTGTGCCTTATTTCTTACCAGAGCCAAGTAGAAGAGGATGAGGCATATTGTGCATGTACTGCCAAAGAACTGGAAAAACAGTACAGGATTCAGCAGGTTCTCCATATTTTCCACCAGTCTGTTTTAAAACGATAAAACATGTTTATTTCACGATTCATTACGTTAATAACTTAACAACACTGTATTAAGTACAGACATTATATAACATTAACTACAGTAAGAACACCTATATTACTATTCTTCTATATATTCATGGGAATAAAGCAATTTCTTTTACCAATAGTTTCCAGTTTTTGCACATATTCGATAGCTAGGCACGGGGACTGGAATTATAATTGGATTTATTGAAACCTTATATCCAATAACTAGAAATTATTATAAGCATCGACGATTTACATACTCCGCAGATCACAGCATATAGAGAGTCTTTTATTTCCTGCGAACTGTTGCTAGGCAGAAGCTGCTAACAATGCAACTCAAGACTACTTATCTCCGACCTCCGACTGACTAAACTGCTGCTGGGCCTCGCCAGCAGAGCCATTCTTGGCTCCGAGTCCTGCGGAACTAATGACTGTATTTTACTCCATTAGACTCTTGAGAGTAGTGCCACTCTACTAGTTGGTCGGTCGGTCGGTCAGTTGGGTAAATTGTTGATGGTCCTCGCAATCAAGGTCAATCTTAGTTTTAGTTCCGTCGGGACCTATGACCATGATTTCATTCTTTTCTTCCGCGTCGTACACACGTTTTGAAATGAGGCCTCCTCTTCGACAACAGGATGGATCTGGCTACTACTTGTCACTTCCCCTAGTGAGGGTGACTCGAGCGAGCACTTACTCACAAAGTGACTCTTCTCTCAACACAAGCACGCACGCACCCCCCCCCCCCCCCCCCACCCNAGTTCTCTGCCAGCGCAGCCGTTCCTCTTTCGCTGCCCGTCGGGACGGACGGCCTAATTTATGTTTGTTCCAAGACCGTTTATTTATTTGCGAATGGGGAATCCTTTTCGACGAGAGGAGGGGGTTTGTCTTTCTGAGTAGACGCCATATTTATTGCACCGTTATTTCGCACGAGTGTACCAGAATTCAAGCAGCGTCCTGCTAAGTGCATTTGTACTGTATGTATACAATACATGCTCTGTCACTGCACTATAACAAGTAAAATTTATACATGGTATACAGAGTTTTTCTGTCAATGAAGGCTTGTGCAGCAGGTTAAGCGTTAACTTGTTTAACCACTCCGAAATTGCAGTTAGTCACCTGATCGCCAAATTTAAGCTCCTTACACTTCCCATGCATAGCTTCTCCTTGTCCAACATGTATTGTACATTTGGATTTACGTGGTTTAGGACTACTTTTATCAGCTTTCAAGAGCGCGGAGTGCTCTCTTTTGCAGGCGCTGCACTTTCATGAAGTCAGTGTCCGCCGCATACTACCTAATCATAGCTTTGTAAAGCGTAAATTTAATTTTTGAACTTAAATTATCACTTTCGAACAGGATATAGATCCTCAGGTACATGCGCGAGGCCTTGACTGTAATCCTTTTGATGCTGAGTCTCCATTCAATCTTCCCCTCGAAGGGAACACAGAGATACGTTACATTATTTACAAAGGGAATGCCCCGTCCGTTCAGTTGTAGTAGTTCCTCAGAGACACTACGTCTTACGGAGAAATAGATTTCCTGAGAATTCCTTTCATTAATCTTTCTGTTCCAGTGCTCACACCATTACTTCACTGCAGTGAGGCCGCGTTGCAAATTACAGAGAACTCGACGTTCTTGTTTCTCTGTCTCATAGATATGGGTATCGTCAGCAAACAGATCAAGACGAGTTCCAGGTGCCGCAGGAGCATCGTTTATATATAGGCTGTATAATATCGTGGCAAGGACGGAACCTTGAGGTACTTGTGCCGCTATTTCTCTTGGCGTAGAAATTTTCCTTCTTCCAAAAAAACGAACTTTCTGTTAGTGAGAAAGGAAGCAATTACCTTAATGAGATTTGTCGCAAATTTTAATTTTGATAATATAGATAGCAGGCCATAGTGTCATGTTGTGTCAAAGTCATTCTCGATAACAAGTAATACCCCAGCCGTCGAAATATTATTGCTGAACTCTAGGGAGACGTGATCTGCCAGCCTCATACACTGAAGTGTCGTGCTGTGTTCTGCTCGAAAGCCAAATTGACTTGCATTTGTAAATTTCTTTCCTAAATATATTTTTGGATTGTTCTTAAAAATCAGCTTCGCAAAACTTTTACTCCTAGTGGACAAGAGGCCTATAATCGATATATAACCTCAACATGGACCGGATACAAAACATCGCTACCAACAGTCTCTCTATTGTTGCGTGTTGATTCATTGCTGATAACGTGTTTATCGTGGTGTTGCCTATCAACTGCCCATCAAGCTTTTCGCCGTCATGTCACATTGCTCCCTCCCTAAGGCTGATCGTTCAGAATAGCCTACGGGTGTATCGCTATCCCTTCGAGAGAGAGAGAGAGAGACGTGGGCGTGTTTGCGACATCTGTGATCTTCCTCGCGAAAGATACATCATAGGCGTGTAGGCCCCAACGCTTGTGCTTCCTGTTACGACGGCGTACAATATTCATTCTTCGTGGTTCGGTCTCGCGCTGCTGTTCCCCAGCTGCTCCCTCCTTAGGACTGCTCGAGCGCCACAGTCTTTTGTAGGCACGCCCTCTTCAATGTGTTTCTTCGTCCGACGGTCTCCAGTTGTGGTTACAGGCACCTTCCTTGATGGCGTTCTTACTTCAGCTTCATGGACGGCCCTGAAACCCTTCCCTGCAGGCTATCCACCGCCTCCAAGTGTCCTTCCAGCCGCACCGCCGCGACCCTACCAAATGGAGTCACTGCCACTTTGCTGCTTCTCTTCCTAAAGAGGGATGAATGTGGTCGCGCCCCAGGGCACCGCAATGACAATTCATATTCGCCCAGTCCCAGCACATGGAGCTTCAGATCATCAAATGTATACTGGACGTGCATAACATCGAGTCCAAGAATGAACTCATAGGTGATATTGCCGACGAACATCCAAGATGTTAGTGGGCGCCACTCCAAAGTAAGTTCTACAAAACCTTCCTTCAAGAAGGGAGGGTCTCCCCTTATGCAGTCTGCAGGGCTCACCACATGGGCGGGTCTTTCTCGGGCAGTCTCAGGCAATCGGTGATGTCCAGCCTGGGGAAGGTCACGGATGCTCCGGTGTCGATGGTCACAAGATATGCTCTCTCTCCTCTTCGTTCCTCGGCATGTAGAATCTCACAGCAGTGTTTCCCGACACCTTTTATGCATAACAAGGGCCAATCTCAATAAATTAGTATTGAAGTATCTCAATATCTTCTGTGTTTCAACTGTGATACATTTTTGTCGAAGTGTATTAAAATAATTATTTATTAACATTTTAAAGTTGGGAACAGGATATGCCAAAGGATTCGATCACTTACTCTAAAATATATTGGTGATGATGAATGCATTCCAGTAAGCATTTGTCTGACTTTGAATCCAGATCCTCTTGCAAGTAGTGAGCTTCTTTTATATTTTCGTTTTGACCCTTGCAAGTTGTTACACTTTCTCTAAAGTTTGCTGAAAGAACATAGAAAATTAATCAAGTGTTACTTTTCCTGTAAGTAGTTATTCTGTATGAAATGTATTATTGACTGAAACCTAATGTTTTTGCAAGCCCATGCCATAGTTTCCATATACCTTAGCCATTCAGTTAGCCTTTGTGGATAGTGGATTCTCAGCTTTTTCTAATAAGCTGACAATGTGTTTTCTGAGGGCTAGTACCCTATTTAACACAAGTATTTTTATATATCTATGAAACTCTTTCTTTTTAATTATTATTAGCATATTTGAAAATGTTTTTTAATAAACAAAATTAATATCTTTATATGGTGTTAAAATGAAAGAGATGTCACAATCACCCCTTTTGAATATTCGTGATTATAAATTATTCACGAGGGTTCCTGAAAATATTTAGGTTATCAGAAATCATGTTATTAGACTCATATACAACAGAAAAAAAAAAGTATTTGTAATTGATTCGGCTGTTAGAAAACTATTTAAAATTGCATAAAATTAATATCCGACAAAAATTGTACTTTCATATTCCTTTAGTATGTCTAGCTAAAGTTCAAAAAGGAGTATATTATTCTGGTATTACATTATTTAACTCTCTATCCCTCAGTATCGGAACCTTAACATTTCACAACCCTATGGACCTCTATGCCCTGTTACCTTTACTTTTTTTTTTTACCTCTCAATATCAAGCAAGTTGCACATGACATTAATAAATTTAAACATAAGTTGAGAAAGAATCTTGTAGAAAACTCTTTTTATTCTGTTGAAGAGTATCTTGATAGGAATAATTAATTTGATTTTTGGGTATACCAATAATTATAGCTTTGTATTTTAGTTTGTATTCATTAGTTTCTTATATATATTTTAATTATTATTTATCTTATGTTAAGACAATCTTATGTAATATATCAATGAAATCTACTGACAATTTCTATATCCAATTGTTATGTATCTGAATGGATCAATGAATGATAATAAAAATAAATAAATAACTACATAATCAGGTCCTAAAGAAAATGAAAACTGAAAAAGCACTTGGTTTTAAAAGAGTAATATTTCACCTGTACATGTAATGTACAATTTTAAGATTTTGCTGTTACAGTATAAAATAATGTGCTCTTTGACCATTAGACTTGTTGATGTGGAGCCAGTGTCTGATATTTCAGAGACTGTCCCTGTCCCCATAAATAGGTGATAACAAAGCCCTGATGGGGAAGACAAAGATAGCTTCTAAAACACTGGACTTCACAAATTAAAGAAACTCAAAAGTTGTTGTATTGTCATTCTACATAAAATCTCACATAAAAATACTTTTTATAATTCCCTTACCAACAATTTACATAAATATCATATTACTGAATTGAAATTTTTCCTTTTGAGTATGACAATAACAAGAACAAACATTTCATTAATTTTTGTCATCCTTGTGTATGTCTGATAATTTTTTTTTCCTTGGCACTACAGCCCCAGTGGCCCTAGGCCTACCTCTATGAACTTCTCCATTCACTTCGGTTATTCTAGATCTTAGACATACAGTAGGGCTCCTTGGGCGGGTGATCTGCTCGTCGCAAGGCCGCTACCTATACACAAACACAGAAAAACGCACACAAACATCAATGCCCTGAGTGAGATTCGAACCCACGAACCCGGCTTCCGAGCGAGCGAAGACAGTGCACGCCTTAGACCACTCGGCTACCATGACCGGCATGTCTGATAATACTGTCTTCAAAATTATTTCCAGGGTGCTGTCCCAGCTCTGGGATACATCCTGTGGCACCACTATAGATCTTTCTGTCTCAGTTACAGCCTCGCTTATATATAAGCTTCAAGTGCAAGGCTCACCTGTTGAAAACCCAGGCTGTTCTCTTCTTGAATTCTCACATTCTAAAGCCTCGCTTGCACTGAAACTCTCCATCTTATGAAGCTTCTCTGATGCCAGTAAATATTCTGCTCGCTCTCTGATTGTTCTCAGAGAATATTTCAGTACCTTGAATTCACCACAGCAATTTATGATTACACTTACAAGTAAAGTGTCCATCCCTGCATTGACAGCTGGCCCCATAATACAGGATATAATTTGGAAACAAAAAGCTATTTCAAAATTTCCTGGTTGTTGTATGTCAAATGGAAACCATGCTTTAAATACTAATGTTTTTACTGTCTGGTTCCCTTGGTTGAGTATTTCAAGTCCAAGAGCTGATCCATATGAAACGAGAATAGATCTGGTGAAAAATGAGATAAGAGTGCCAATACAAAGGTAATAGTATCTCCAACTGGCAGCTTGCGCACGGCAGTCAGCCTTTTGCAAGATTTTATAGTGGTCTTCAGTCCATCTCAATGATGTGGCCAAATAACCACTTCGCAGTCTCTGAACCAAATCTTTAAGACGTTTCTCATATAAGAGGAATACTGTCTGTTTCATTACGCATGCAGTATAAATTAAAGTTACACTGCCAGTTGCAGCTAGATTTTCTAGGTCTCCCCATGTGAACACAATATCTAAGTATTCTGTTGCAGTGTGAAGATACAGAATAATGAGTAGTGCCCATCTGTAACTGATGAACAGTTTTATGGCCCATGAGAATTTTAAAGCAGATATGTTACCCTGCCATAGCCCAAGAAGCTTCAAAAGTTTTAAATTAACAACCAGAATATTATTAATATCATGGTCTTCATTTACAGAAAAATTCATCTTGTTAAATTATTGCTTATCAAATTGGTTTTCAAGCAAGTAACAACAACCAGTAACAGAATTTATGATTTCAAAATATATTCTATAATTTCTTAAACAAACAGTGGTTTAGTCATGTTTTATTCTGATTGTGGGCTGTTATTAATAATTCAACTGTTTTGCACAGAGAATATAATTACACTGAATAATTTTCTCTTGTAAGAATCTTATAATGACTGGAGAAAAAAATTCTCAATTCTGCAAATATGTTCCTCCTAGTCCACTAATGCCTATTTACTGTCTCCCTATTATAATGATTACTGTTGTGCTGCAGTAGAAACTAGAAATATGGTGTTAGTTTTAAAGAAGCTGTAGTATAAGTGGGATTTTGATCTGTTTATGTATTCTCTTAGCGTTCCCACATACATGTGTCTAATTCAAACAGAATTTATGATAGCATAGTTCTGAAAATTCCATCTTAAGTCAAACGACAATAAGTAGGTATTCAAACGAGATCTTTTGTATGATGTGAACATTCTACCAAGAACATCTTACATGTTAAAATTTAACAGGTAGAAGTATGATTCAAAACTTGGCTCTTAAAAAAATGTAATTTAAGAATAGAATATACTGTCAGAAGAGGGAAGAGAGAGATATATCAAGTCTTTAGAAATTACACCATTCATTAATGCCATGCATGCAACTCATAACACTGTGATGGAAATTTATGAATTCCATCATAGATTCCAACTGCATCCTCAATATCTGAAGTATGTACTATGGAATTCTTAACAGTTATGATGAAAGGGATGAGTGTTTGAAATTACAATATCCTGAGAAAAGCTGTTTCACAAAAGCAAAGCAAAAATTATATGACCAAACATGTGTCCTAGCTTAACAAAACTCAGCATGACACCATTAAATTTATTCATTTCAGTTTAGGACAAAAACGAAATGGAGACCTCTAAATAATCTTCAAGCAGCAGATCTCATCTAATTTGCTGTAATTACTGAACTGCTGGATTCTTCTAGTTAGGCTTTCCTCGTGGTTCTCATCCTTTCTTGCTTTCTATCTACAATCCAATCACAGATGACCTGGTGGTCTACAGATAAAGAATTGGACTGCCATTCAGGAGGTCATAACTCAGTACACATTTTCCTATGCAAATTTTTTATTTCACCTCTGCCAACGTTTGTACTTTGGGGATGTGGAAAACTTCAGGCCTTCACCATGGCTCAGAGTCCAAATTAGGCTAAAGGTTTCTCTGCTCTCCACAATTCTTGCCATTCTTTTATCATAAGGGTTAAAATAATTTTATCCCATGTGTATTCCTTTCAGAAACTGATAATTTCATTGCAATCTGTGGATAAAGACCAGCAATATCAGTAACACCATACTTCAATGTGATTTCAATTCCATTACTCATCCTCTACTATTACAGGCAGCTACATATCTAAGCAACTTCCTTAGGCCTTCTGCTTTCTGGGGGCCTGCATGTTGATTTTAGTGAAACATGAGTAATTTTACTAAATTTGTCTGCACAAGTTAACAGTAGTGATAGTGCTTCTAACTGATACTAATCCAGTCTGGACTGGGTTGACTATCCTGGCTGGGGTTATTTGTGATATTATGCAGTTCATGAAGACAAATGCCTGAACAGTGCCTTAAATTAGGCCATGACCACGTCCTTCCACATCATTTCCCATTCATATTCATGCAGTCATTCGATGATTATATAGTCTGAGCTCCTGTCAGCATCATTAAGTAAACCACAAGTAAATAAATGTAATAAATACAAACCACTGCGTCCAATGTGACATAGAAGTTATTACTACGTTAAAACTTATCTCCCTTACATGTTTCGGTTTTTATGGGCTATCTTCAGAGGGAACATCATTACAAACTGGAAACTACCATCACAATAGGTGTTTTGATTTAAAATACATACACTTATATCCTATAATGCACAGTACGCGTAAAGTCGAATGTTTCACAATCACAGCAGCTACTTGATGTTGTAAAGTTTTTAAAAGTTTCTAGATGTTATTTAAAAACCTTTATTGTCAATAGTTAAAATTTTTTAAACCACGTAGGTTTGTGTGTACTCCTATCGTCCTTCTTCTATGGGGCAAATTTTGTGCCTTATAATTGTTAGTGCAATGGACCAGAATGAAACAAATCAAAAAATAAATGTAAATTTAATAAATATGGTTTTGATACAGTGTGGTTGTGTAATTTCTGGCATGAGAGCAACTGAAACAAGTCTCAAAAGCTGGAGAGTGGATGATTCAATATAAGAGCGATGAACTAGCACAAAGATTCGGTTTGTGTTCATAACAATTATTAAATGTGTTACCGTCTTGACTAATTATAACATTGTCATGGGGCTATGTAATATGTCGAATAAAATTGTGGTTAGTCACAATTCCCATCTTATTTCATTTTGTGCATATAAATATAATTTTAAAATATCTTGAAAGGAAACAAAATGTTTGCTTTTAAAGGACATAACTTCTCAGTATACAAATCTTAATAAATGACCGAAAGTTGGATTAAGTCAGTTCATTTAATTATTCGGATGGAATGTACCAGTAAGCTCATAGTTGATCTAATGATACTGATGTTAAATTATATGGATTTAAACAGTTTTTAGGTGTAACTACTTTACAGGAAGAGTAAGAAGAGATATTGTTCTGAAGATCTTTAGGCAATTATTCTCCTAAAATTAGAATAGGAGCAGAAATTACTATATTGAGACCACTGGTAAAAATTCGAGTACAGTAAGGAAATAAAACAAGAACTTAACATAGCACATACTATTAAGATTATATATATACAAGTATATGTGTGTGTGTCTGGAATGTAAGCCAATCAGAAGCAGGATGGTAGGTAGACCGAACAGAAGATGAAACTGGAAATGGAAGAGCCAGACTGGCTTTAACCATGATGATGCATTGAGGATGAGGAGTATATATTTCAAATTTCAGCTTTGTTCAACTGCTTTTGAATCACATTTATTATGAGTGCAGTGTCTTTATTACACAAAGTGCACATGCTCTATTTCGTTGGTGCAATTTATAGTTCATACATAATATTAAAGGGTGTTGCATAAGGTGATATTTCTTAAGAGCTATACTCTGATGGGGATTTTCTAATCTATACAATTAGATTTGCACATTAATCAGTGAGCAATGAAGCTCCACTCCATGAACTTGGATAGTCACAAATTACATGTATTAATGAATGGTCTTTATTGAATTAGCCATTCAAGGAACAAATTGTGAATCACAAAGATGACAGTCAAAAAATGTTTTAAACAACTTTGTTCATACGCTTATGAAATCCTACTTCTGGACAGTGCTAATAATTAATAAGGAAAAAAATGATTTCATACATTAATAATAGTCACCCCGAAAGAGAATTTCCCACGGTAATTAAATGCAAATGCTTCATTCGGAAGAAGCTTACAAAATGCCAATTTTAAGAAGCTACCTTCAAAGAGAATAAAATATTGGACGAAAAATCAATGATGAACAAGTCAAATTAATAAAAGCTCTACATTCACCGTAAATTCAACTTGGCTACGCTAGTTATTTCCAACTCACCAACATTATTGGCATTTCTGCAGAACATATTCAATTATTATAATGTTATAATTCATCAAAATTATGATACTTAAATTCAGAACTGGAAGTTGAGCCCAGTATTAAGGCAATAAAGATTTCCCTGGGACACGTTACTATCCCTGTTGATGTCATACAAGAAATTATGTAAGTGCCCCACCCACGGTCGTCATGCAGAAACAATAACCAGAACACACACATACATGTAGAAATGTGTATATGGATATAAATATATTTATTTATTTATTTATTCTTTTTTTCTTTTTTCCCCTTGGCACTACAGCCCCAGTGGGCCTAGGCTTTCTCAGTCGCCTTATTGTCTCTCTTTCAATCTTGAGACGCTATACTTCTTTTCTTTTCACGACGAATTCCTCTGTCGTCCTCCCGCGTTCAAGTTCTTCTCGTCTCCTTTTCGACACATCCTTATGTGGACTTGTGCGTGACTCCAACTGATCTCCCTGAAGTCTAAGTCTCTTGCTCTGTGCAGCATTTGTTCAGCGGGACATCTTCTTGTCGGCCGTGATCAGTCGCTTCCTCGGGAATCCACCAGCTCCCTGAGTAAGATTCTTCTTCACGATGTCTCTCTTGCGTCGTGCCACTGTTGCGCGACGGGACATCCTCTTGTCGATTTTCTGCTCTTGCCGTGCCAATTTCGCACGGCGGCTCGTCTCTCTGCGGGCGACGGCCAGTTTTTTTCGGCACCCACCCTGACTCTGGGTCCGTTCATTCATCTGGCGGCGGCGGTCCGCGGACAGTTTTCGATCCTTGCGCCTTTTCTTCTTCGGTTCTCCGACCAGCATTACTTCGGCGACATCTACGGGACCTCTTCCTTTTGTGCCGCCTCAGGTTTCCTGTCCGGTGAGGCTGGCTTCTTCTCTTCCTGGCGTGCCTCCATCTCTTGGCAGGCCATCGTCTTTACTTCCGTTTCGGGTTTCAGTTCGATCTCCATTTCTTCGTGGCTGGCTCTCATGTCTTCCCGCCAGGCTTTCCAATCGGCCATCATTTGTTCATGACTAGCGTCCGCCTTTCCTTGCATGGCTAGCAGGAATTCCATTATTTGTTGACACTCCATTTTTTGTGGTTATTTTTGTGTTTATGTTCGATCCTTTCGGTCACGTGTGTAAGTATAATCCTTTAAATTCGATCCGATTAATCCGAACTGATCCCACTTCTGACACCAGTTGTCACGTGTTGGGTATGTTACGCGACAAATAACTTCACGTGAGTCTCGGATTTAACGAATCTTTATAGGTCACCCACTCTTACACACCTTACTATTATTATCGCTTGCAGTCTCACTTGACTTCTGGCCCAGTACTCTAATACGACGTCTCATCTATCCTTGGCCGTGGTTGGATCCCAACTGTCTTTGGAATCGGCTGTCCCAAGATTGTCTCGTTCTCATTACTCTGTGTCGTCTCTGGCTCTGCTTATATAGCGGTTATGCGGACCCGATACCGGACACCGTTCCTCGCGGTTCCGTTACCGCTGTTCAGACAGTCCGTTGTTACGGGAACGCTCTTATAGAATGCACCGGTAACGCGTTTCGTCTCATCCGTTGTTACTCAACGACATTCGTTGCTACGAATTGTCGCTGAGGGAACTCCACAATTTCCACGTATTCGTTGCCGTGCAAGTGTCCGTTCCTTTTGTAGCGGTTGTCGCGGTGATGGACGTAAGATAACGCGTCACAATATATTTCGAAATGTGCTCTTTAAAATTTTGCTCATCCCACCGTTCATGTCTGATTATTGGAGAAGAAACACATGTATTCCAAGCTAATCACCCTGAAAATACAACACTGCATAGTCACTGAATAATTTCCTCGTATTTTGTTAAATATTAATCATACCGAAAAGTACTCAGACAGATATCGCATATATTGATTGTGTCTCTATTTTTAAACATGTATCAGCTGGCTACAAGAATAACCGCTTTTCGGAAAACAGATAAATTTCGATTGGAACTGTAAAATACGCGTTAGACGGGGCTGACCCAAAGTAAATGAAAATTTCCAGATAATTTTCTGAATATTGAAACGAAATCCGTCCAACAGTTTCTGAAAATAAGTAATCGAATAGACGCTAAACAGACTGATATATCTCCCAGTTCTGGGCTGGAATTCACAGAGAGCATTGTAACAGAATGCGACATACGTAACCAGCTAAACTGTTCTAAAAACTTCAGTGTTTGGCAATACTCCGCTGAATTTTCCAAAGAAAACTCTCTTCTAATGAGCCTAAACAACATCTGATGTTATGGACCTCGAAGGCTCATCACAGTCCTTATAGCAGCTTAGCACTGGGTTTGAAGCAAAAACCTCTACAATGTCGTTCCTTGTTATTCATTTGGTCGATGAAGGCATCGCTACTAAAATATGTAAATGACTAGAAGGGGGTGATCGGTAAATCCTGAAGATGGCATTTCAACCGTTAGTTCGGCTGATAAATAATCAACACCATTCTTCCCCAGCCTCAATTTTATGAAGAGTGGAAATGCCAGAATTTATTGGACGGTGGCGGCTCGTGACCTTCTGAAGAGGTGGGACCAGGAATGAATACAATCCCTCTCACTCACACACACACATACACAAGCGCGCGCGCACAGTGCTTAAAATTAAGGAGAGAGAGGAAAATTTGTGTTCTTTTTAAATGTTAATACTTTAATGGTTTGTGTTTTGCGATACAGGACCCCCCCCCCAGCAACTATAGTGTCATTCTGTGTTGAAGAGAATATTTACAGAAAATAGTCGCTTCCCTGTGACGTGAGTATAAACATCTTGGTAGAAACACAAAGCCCTCGTGAGTCGGAGAGATTCCGATCCCGTTAGGTTCATCTGTGCCTTTTAAAGCTCATGCTTTAGTATGCAATAGTACTAAATAGTTGAGCACTACGCCATAAAGACGTATGGGGGAATGATGTACAGTTGACCGTACTATTGACACTGAATATGCGGCTGGATGAGCCTCAGAACCGGTGTGGCGACGTGGAGAGGAGAATATCCTGCCCGTACCAGGACTCGAAATCCGGCCTCTCGGTCGTCCAGTCAGTCGCTATACCGATAGTGCTATCCCGGCTCCGGATGGGCAGACCGACCACGTGCATCACACGAGACACGAGCCTAAAATGCACTGTTTCTATTACTTGCAGGGCTGGACCGACTACATGTTTCGCGCATTCCTTTTACACTCTTTGACAATCATCGCAAGAAAGATTCGTGTGACAGCGAATCATTTCGAAAATGTCTTTAACCTGATTCGACACTGCCGATCCATTTATTTTCACTCACCGTAGCTTTATGACTATCGCTACTGAAAGTACATTCTTTTCTGCTGTATAAATACCGCTTTTGAAATTATCACTAAATCTACACGTCCTGCATCTGCACAAGGTTTCTAACAAGCTCCGAGCTATATAAATTTCACAAGCCTGTCACTCGAAATAAACACATGCTGGCCATACAATTGTATTTTAATTTAAAATGAACGCAAACCCTGAAGTGTCAACACGGAGTAGCCGAATGTCTGTATTGGAAGGGAGAACAGCAAATATTCAGGCAAGTGGGGGAGAAATGAACACATCAAATTCTATCAAGACACGTAATGGGCAGCGACCCGAAGGCCCAAGCAACAATGGAACAGGTTTGGGACGGGAAGGTGTGACGGTTATCGACAGCTCTAAGCAAATGGAAGTTAGACTTGAAAGGATTCTGACGATGGTGTATACTGTACTTCTTTTGGCTTATTTTGGACTTCACCCATCGTCTGGTATGTAAAAGACAAAAAGACAAAAAACCTTTCCTATCCACCTGAAGACGGAGACAGATCCAGTCTCCGAAACGTCGTGGTTTTTTGTCTTTTTGTCTTTTACATACCAGACGATGGGTGAAGTCCAAAATAAGCCAAAAGAAATACAAATGAAAGTTCCATAGAAAACTGAGCTAAAGATAGGGTTCATGAAGCAAGGTTCTCCATGAACTTCTCGCATCCTAAGCAAATTTTCTTCGAAATTTGAAAGACCTTCTTATGTCATAAAAAGGTAAAGTTGCACTGTCCTTAAATAATTCAGCACAACGCCATGAAGGCGTGTAGGAGGTGTGGATATATAGAACCACATATTCTTCGCCTCGGAACTATCTGATGGAAACAAATTACAAATACGTAATCGAACTACTTTCTGTGCCTACTAAATTCAAACAATTTATAAATTTATTAAACTTCACTTTATACATTTAGGCGTAAAATGATGGCGGGGCCCTCCTCTTCCGGCTCACAGAGACGGGTTGTCCTGTTACTGGAAGCAGTGTTATGCATCAGCAGTCCGCATAAGTCCTGAGAGCAGATCCCTATTGATATACAATGTTGCATTGATAATGCACATACCAGTACCAGCCTAAATGCATAGCATAACGGCACATTCTTTACTCCTCTTCGGGAGGTACTAGGTTCAGTTGTCGGCCGGGACATCAGCTATCCCGATGAGGTGTCTGGTGGTTTTTCACAGCCCCCAGGAAAATGACTGGATAGTACCAAGATACGACCATGCAAGAATACTTTTAAATTATTTTCAACTTATTCATATATCATCTCAGCATTCGACGAGACATAATTTGCCTAGTGACACCGTCATGATATAGCCTACAATAATATCTGCTGTCACTAACAATTTTCCCCCTTAAAGCGGTATAGTGTGACTTTAATAACAGTAATTGAGCATTGTATGAGTTTAAATATAATCTGATATCATAATCATTATCGACAAAACAGCGCTTTAAGCCATAGCCTTCTTTAGAAGATTCTGCTAATATTTATCATGAGCTGGACCATCCGGTTTTCATTTCTTTGAATTTCGCAACAATAATTTTTATACAGAGCAATGTTGTCAGTCTTGAGTCCAATTCTCAACCTGGGGAACAAGGTTTCTGTATTTATGTCCCCCGGTGACAGGGTGGCCCAGTTTTCCGCCGAGGCACCGGGTTCATTTTCGCCGCCTTCTACGACTCGCAGGGTAACGGTAAAAGTATTCTAACCGGCCTCCACACGGTAAAACTACATATTGTGGCGTGCCGCCAGAAAGCCGGAATGGTTAAGGAGATGAGCGTTGATTTCCTAGGCAACGAGCGACGTTCCCACTAAAACGGCTGGGAATCAGAACACATCCATTGCTATACAGCAGCTAGCAAACCTAAGCAAAGAATTGTTCGAGACAGTTGCATTACAACGGCTAGGAAAACTCGTAGCAACGAGAGAATACGCTAGCTAACTGGTGAAGCTACCGCTACAGCGAAACAAAACACTAGCTACTGGCGGATATAACACGTGAAACGGAACCCTTGAACAAGGTGTCTTAGAGTCCGTCCGACGGTAGGACATAAGGAAAGACCAGGTCGGAATTGAGACCAGATAACGAAATACAAAGAACCGAGATTACAAAGTGATACGAAGAGATACAACGAGCCGGGATTAGCGGTTCAAGAAGTGTTGTAACACTGGAGAGGAAACATCTAAAGGACGTTCGTTATAAATGGAATAATTGTACTTACGAGTGTAAAAGCGACTGTCCAAAAAATATTCGTTCAAATCCGAGAACCCGTACAAATTTCTTGTCGCGTTGCCCAGCAAACACGCGAAAATATAATATAATATAATATTTTAATATATTTTTATGACAACAAATATGTCGCGAAATGAGTCAGTCTGCCATTAGACAGTATTCTCTTGCGGAGGTCCATGATTCCGCTAAACACAGTTTGGTATACAGCATCTGTATAACCCGGAAACGGAAATGGAATTTCAGACTGGAACCAGATCCGTATTTTAGTTTCGACACTATGGGCACTGTGCACAGGATATGTGAAACAAATAAATGACCACTTTTCAACAAAATTTATGACAATGCGACAGCCCAAAATGATTAATTATACGATAACGTCCCGCTGAACGGACCACTCGTGCGCATGCCGTTTTATTTGCCGCTAAAGTAATATTGATCTTGGTACGTAGGAAGAAGTTCCTACATTTTTACAGATGTTAGCTTTAAGCAGTACTCAGTTCTCGATTGTCGGTTATGTGGTCTCTTGATCAGTGAGAAGTAATTATGGATTGAAGAAAGCAGACTGCTTTTACCGGTTCTCATGGTCTCTTCGCTTGCGGATTTCTTATATTTTTCCTTCTACCCTGAAGATGGAGGCGATACGTTCCTCCGAAACGTCGGTTAACACCACATATACACGGTGCCAAATCCCAGAAAACTACTTTCTTCATAGTCACCGCCGTGAAAGTCTCAAATATTACAAAATTATGGATTGTGTGTAGAGTTATTTAGTTTCGAATAAAACTTATTAGATGACATGACGTTTGGGCAAACAACAGTGATTACACAAATTAAAAGTTATTATTACTCTCAGACGCTATCGCAAATAGCTGCTGTGAAATAAAGCCTAAGGGGATGTTCGTACTATGATCTTATTACAGTAACATGACATACGATCTCATTAATTATCCTCCTCATAATATGGCCCGTTTGTTACTGCAATTCAGAACGTCAGTGTTACTTTCTGAGTGTTCTTTCTTTTGTTACTTGAGACAGCATTGAAAGATAAATGCTAAGGTTCTGATTAGGGATGTGGACATTACAAAACAAAAGCGACATTTATTCCAATTGTTATTGATTAGCACTAGCGTAGTCAGTATAGCGACTGGCTACGGGCTTGACGACCAAAGGATAGGACTTCGAGTCCCGGTAGGGTTAAGAATTTTCTATTCTCCACGTCGTCCAGACCAGCTCTGGGGCCCACACATTCTCCTATCCAATGGGCACCGGGGGCTCTTTCCCCGGGTGTAAACCGGCCGCGCCGTGAAGCTGACTGCTCACCTCCAACTAGTGCCGAGGTCGAGAAAATGTGGATCTATAGATCCACTCCCCCATACGCCTTCATGGTGTAGTGCTTAATTAGTTAGGCATAGGGACAACTTTACCTTTTACCTCATTAATTAGCATAGTCTGTTTCCGTTGTATTTAAGCAAGTCTGGCAGTTCTGTTTACATCAGTTTAACAACGCAATACGTGTGTAAACTTGTTAACGAGATATATTAAAAATCTATTCAGGCCTTTTAAATCAAGTGTTTCTTAATATTTCTTAAAATTATAGAAGTTTCAACATGAAAATTCTGTTGTAGTAAAAGTGTCGCACATCAGGTTTAATCAAGATCTATCAAAGAACTCGAAAGCTAGAACTTTAAGTAAAAGTGCATTTAAGCCAGTAAGTAGTGTCCCTTCAAAGTAATATGACTAAAGGGACATCAATATAGCTTGGAGAAATTTAGTACAGGTCTATCATATGCACTTCATCGAAGTCAGCCCAGTGGCTTTGAAGCTGTTATTTGCGCACCAAGGGCCAGTAAGTTAGAAAGGTAAAGTTTTGCTGGGATTAATTAATTAAGCACCACACCATGAAGACGTATCGGGGAGTGAAAGTAAACGGCACAGTTCTTAAGCTTGGTACTAGATAGAGGTGAGTGGTCAGCTTCATGCCCCGGCCGCTTTACCCGCGGAAACAGCCCCAGGTAGCAATGTTATAGGAGCCTGGGTGGGCCTCGGAGCCGGGAATCTAAACCCAATTTCTGGGCCATCCAGCCGGCAGCCTATCCGCTATACCGACTGAAATATCCTGGGTCAGTCATGACAAAAATAAGAAGTGACATTCGGTTTTTCTCAAACACGAAACTAACGCTGATAATCTAAATAATGATGATGGCAGATTAGCTACAACTTCGCTTCGTCTTGGCAGTCGGAGACCAATTTATAAAAACGGCGTGTATATCATGGGCATTGGCTGAGGACAAGCTTTGAGACACGTCTTAAAAGTCGTAGTGTATCAGCAATCCTTCGCAACGTAGACAAATTTCTTCAGCTCGCTAAATAATTTAGAAGAACGGTGTCGCCGGCCGATCGATAATATATGAAAATGGATTGCTAACTCACAGTGCGTTTTGAAATATAAACGAAATTAATGGTGGTTAGCCTGCATCAATTCGGTTGAAGTCGGTAAGTAAACATTTAAGTTCTGACATTTCTCGAATAATTTACATCACAGACTGAAAAAAAAAACAACAGAAGTTTTACTTTATATTCAAAGGCGGATATGTCGGGGTTGATTCGGTCACGGAGTTATTTTTGGTCAAGCTACGAGTAATTCCCGCACTGAGCAGACAGTTTGAGCACCTGATCTGGCATTGCGCTTAGTACTGCACTCTCGTATTGTGTGCACAAAACGTTCCTCTTTCCTGAATTTGTGAACTTTGTGTTTTCGCGAGACATATGACATAAGCTCACTTCACGGTAGTTGTAGAATGATTGTATTAAAGAAAAAAATGCAATATCTTTCGATTTCGCTTGTCGATAATGCTATTAGGCCAAATCTCAGTGGTCCAAGTTGAAAAGACGAGGTAGCTTCTTGCTATGGACACTTTGCCTCCAGGCGGAAATGCCCTGGATCCTCTCGATGTGTTTCAACGTGACTGTGAAGAGAATAACTCGAATGTTCTAAGAATAATATTCCAGCTTTCCATTTCAACTTAAGTTACTTTACTGAGCTATCCCAGATCATTAGAACGGACCCTGAACCAAAACGCCATCCCATGACAACTACTGGCGTAAACCTCTCTTCCCAAATTCCATTCAAATCCAGGTCAAGACATGAAAACAGACATGAAGACAGAGAACGACCATTCTCACGTTTTTCTTCATTTTGTTCAGCACCCCCAGAGACAAACGGTTAAATTGTACCTAGAAAGAAATCTCGATCATTTTGTTCTACGTCATTTACAAATTTATGATTGCACAGACTTCCTCCTACTCGGTACTATAACACAAGCAGCACTGTTCAATCAACAAACACACGACTTCTCCCAAAATAAGTTGGCTCCTTCACATACAACACACAGAAGGCCTAAAGGCCAATACTTTCATTCCTTGTTTTCTGCTTTAATATACATTAGAATGAAAGTACAATATATCCCAAAATGCCTCTTATGGGAGTAATGATGGAAAATGCCGGTCACGGTAGCCGAGCGGTCTAAGGCATGCACTGTCTTCGCTCGCTCGGAAGCCGGGATCGTGGGTTCGAATCCCACTCAGGGCATGGATGCTTGTGTGCGTTTTTCTGTGTTTGTCTACAGGTAGAGGCCTTGCGACGAGCTGATCACTCGCCCAAGGAGTCCTACCGAATGTGTAAGATCTAGAAAAACCGAAGTGAACGGAGTTCATGGAGGTAGGCCTAGGCCCACTGGGGCTGTAGTGCCAAGGAAAAAAAAATGATGGAACATGCCTAAATGTTATGTGACCTTCATAAAAATTTCAACCTCCCACTGTATTCCAACTACACCTTAATATTTTACTAAGGTAACAACGCAAACATTACACGCCTGAAATATGCATTGCCATTCTTAATACAGGGACAACTTTACCTTTTTTTACACGTGAAATGTCACATGTCTTCGGATGTTGTAATAGAAGTTATACAAATAGAGGCCCCAATATGTGGACCAATACAAATAGAGGCCCCAGTATGTGGACCAAGAGCAAGTTTTGATAATTTAAGAAGACATTTATTTCTTACGTTTGAATAGTAAGGAAAAAAGACATGTCATGGATGTCCTGCGTCATGTGGTTAGTGTGCATGTGTTTATCATTCGCTCTCCTACTTCAGCTGAGGGGGTCTGGCAATAATGCTAATGAAATTGCTGCATGCGGTCTTGTGTCGATGGATAAAAGTAAGTAACGAAAAAAACAACGAAAGAGAATGCAGAATTTAACAAGGCATATTGCTGCTATCGACTACATATAACTTATCCAGTACACTTCTCTCAATGTTAACTCCACGTGTAGATGAAATTATTTGGGATCATCGGTGCGGATTTCGTAGACTAACTACAGATTAGGCCGCGCCATAGCTCAAGCGGTTAGTCTCTGGCTTCCCACCGCGGAGGCCCGGGTTGGAGCCTGGGTCTGGTCAAGTGGGATTTGTGGCGGACAAAGTGGCGCTGGGGAGGGTATTTCGGTTTCCCCTGCCAATCTTCATTCTGCTAAATTCTTCATCATCATAATCACCCGGGGCAGGCTACAATAGGCCAATCAATGGCCGCCGTGCCGAGTGGATCCAGTTTGACTCCACTCCCCACTAAGCGAATTAAAAAACTACAGATCAAATATTCTGCATTTGTCGGATATTTGAGAGAAAAATGGGGGCGAAATTGGCGGTACATAGGCCATTTGTAGATTTCAAATGAGCATAGGATTTAGATGGGAGGACAATAATGTAGAATAATTTCATTATATTTGATATAAATGTAGAATTAATTAGGCTAATTAAAATGTGTTAATAACGAACAATATTATAGCGATGTCCTTATAGGTAAAATCTGACCAATCCGTTTCCCATTCACAAATGTCATAGATGCTGCCTTATCATCGTTGCTTTTCAAGTGTGCATTAGGATATGCCGTTATGAAGAACCAAGGAAACCATGCTGATGTTAAGTTATTGGGTGAAAACATAAATACCATAAGGAATAAAATATCAGAAATGTTAACACGTAGTTAGTCTAGTATTAAATGCAGAGAGTACTGAGTACACAGAATGCAAGAAAATATAACGCAAGTTAAAATAACAGAATAACAGGACACAGATAACAAAATATCTTCGAAAATGTGATGTAGTTCAAATATTCGGAGCAGGACTCATAATTAGTGGATCACTGTGGCAGGAACAATGCTTACACAGTAAGAATGTTTGGGATTTGCAGTGAGGGTCATATTTTATGGGCATGCTTAGTGAACACCCTAACCAAACTGCATAAGATATTTTCATCCACAGTTGATTCAAACATACAGAAGGACGGAAGACAAGCAAAGCAAATTTCTGCACTGTTCAGAAATGTGCCCATAAATAATATCTCCCTTCTTTGTAAGAAGCAAAATTCTCATAAATTAATGTTTTATTCCTTCTATAATGGTACGATAAAGTTAAGCACCACACCATGAAGACGTATGGGGTGGAGGCACAGATCGAAGTACTCGTAACCTCGAAACTACAGAGAGGTGGTCACATTCATGTTCTGGAGCTTTGTCGCAGAGGAATCTGTCCCCGGTAACCAACGGAAAGGAGACTGTGTTCGCCCCAGAACCGGTCTGAAGGATATCGAGAAAAGAAAAATATCTTATTCTTGCTGAGGAATCGAACACCTATCCCTCGGGTGTCAAGTCCACGGTCCGTTGCTGCACCAACTACTACTTTAAAATTAACTGGTTTTATGTAAATGAACGGTTCAACTACAATGTAATAGAACTAGATATAGGCCTAATAGTGGAAAAGGCATTGAAAAAATTTTCCATACATTCCTTACGTTTTAAAAGAACCTTTGGACATTGTGTAGTTATTTTTTGGGAGCATATTAATATGAAGAACGTATTAAGTGAGACAGTACTCTCTACAAAGTAGTAGAATTATCGAAGTTGTTAGAACAGTTTTCAACAAAATCATAATGTTGTACTCTATCTTGAGATTAGGCATATTGAATTCTGTGCAGTGTACATGAAGCAATAAGAAGAGATAATCATAAAATTTTGCTTTTGAAATATACTGTGATACTGCTCACAACTTCTCATCATCACAGGGTAAAGGAGCATAATAGTTATGAGGGAAAACGAGACCCCATAGAAGCCACAGTTTTTGTCATATTGTTTGCCAAAGAGTCTTCAATTGTTACCTTTTATTTCTCAACAGATTGCTTTGGTGATATTGTCTCTCGCCAATCCGTATACTGGCGCTGGCCGGGAGTACCTTGCCAGTCAACTTGTGGATTCTGCTGTGGCAATTTCAGACATTTACTTCGCACCTGGACGAACTATTGCGATATCACTGCCCAACAAAACATTTTTAGAAACTGACACCAATATCAATGCATCAAGGCAAATGCGAAATCTTGGACGGTCAAGTGATGAAAACATGGTAGAAATTATCCACGACCTAACAGAACGCCTTCACATCTTAAGTCGCTGGCCTATTGTAGTGATTTGTCCCACAGAAGAAGTCACGAAACGGGACCCTACAGACTGGGATACAACGAATGAAGACGTTCACGGCAGCTATATTCTGGTTAATATGTATCATAAAGATCTGCAAGATCAGGTGGTAATCAGTTTGAGGGAGCAGATACAGAAACTAGAAACATTTCCTGCCTGGAACTCACGAGCAAAATTTGTCATATTGTTGTTAACAGAGGAGGCAGTTGATGCCAGGGACGTGGCAAAATATGTTCTGCAGGAGCTGTGGAAGTGGAAGGTAATGAATGCAGTACTGTTACTTCCAACTTCAACTAACAAGAGTAACGTGTCCCATGTGCTTATGTATACATGGTTCCCTTATCAACTTCCCTCAGGTTTATGTGGGGAATTGAGAGACGTCATCCACGTCAATTCTTGGATCTTAGACAAAGACGGAGGACGATTTCTACAAAATTCGTCTCTATATCCCGAGAAAGTTCCAGTTGATCTCAAGGGATGTCCAATTAGAGCTTCAACTTTCGAATTTCATCCCTTTATCATATGTGATAAGCATATAGCCACAGTGACCAACTCATCTATCATTGACGGCTTGGAAATACGAATCATGAGAAGTGTAGCTGAGGGAATGAACATGAGCCTAATACTAAGAATACCACCCGGGGATGACAGAGGAGGAATACAGCTAGAAAATGGTATCTGGACAGGACTAAGGGCTGACATAATCTATGGTAAAGCAGACATCGTATTCGCCAGCCTTCTGAGGAAACTTGAGGATCACCTTATATTTGACGACACAATAAATTATTTCACTGACAGATTTACGTGGTTTGTAGCACGTGCAAAGCCGTATCCTCGCTGGCTAGCTATGGCCAGAGTCTTTGATCCAATGACATGGTTAGTCGGTTTCCTGGTCATCATACTGTCGAGTATTTTCATGAGAATTCTATATTCTTTCCACACAGTTAAGCATAAGGAAGTGTCGCATGATTACTGGAGATTTGCTGTTTGTCTGTCCAGTATATGGGCCGTGTTCTTGGGCGAGGGCGTGCCAATAATGCCTTGTAGTCTCCCTCTCCGAATGTTCTTCCTGTCCATGATAATCTACTCTCTTGCAGTCAACACAATATTCCAGACATTCTTCACGAGCTACGTAGTGAATCCTGGGCTCCTACACCAAATAAGTAATGTGGACGAGCTTGTTGACTCTGACCTAATCTATGCTTTTTATTACGTACTAGATAAATTTTTCACTGCAGATTTCTTACAGAAGTTGAAACCAAGAGTCCAGTGTGAACCATTCAAGTGCCTGGATTATGTTGCCACTCAAGACAACTATGCGACATTCTGTGGCAGGGCCTTACTGGCGTATATTGTTGACGAACTGGTGAAACAAGAGGGTAAGCATGAAATTTATGCATTTCGAGAAGATTCCTTCCAGTTAAATTCTGTTATGCTGATGCCAAAAGGAAGTCACCTTTTCGATCGAGTTAATATGGTAATGACTCACATTGTTGAGGCAGGTTTACCAAATCAGTTTCTGAAAACCATATTAGATTCTAGGCGAATTGAAGCTGGAATATTAGCTCTAGAGGATTTGAGTGGTGAATATTCTGCTCTGAGCTTGAGTCATCTACAGGGGTCGTTTTTCTTTCTCTTAATGGGCGTTACTCTGGGATTAATCATGTTCTTATTGGAAGTGATTACATATTACTTGATAGGTTATTCGAAGTAAACGTTAAGAGAAAACTAATCTCTGTAGAAAGATTTCGTAATATATGACTCTTCTCCATATCGTTTATACACTAACATTCGCACAAAACGAAAGGCTGGAAGTCCATTTACGAAGCTTCATTGTCCATGTGCGGGTTAACAGAATATCCTAGAATCAAAATCGTCTTCACGTCCTTGGCGCCTAGGGTAAGGTCTAGCGCACACATGCAATTTTTTAGTTGGCCGATAGTTGGCCGATAGTTGTGCACGATCGTTGAGGCCCAACGACTGTCGAGGGACGTGCGCACACATACAATTTTTAGTTGGCCGATAGTTGGAGTTGGAGTAGAATTTTGTGATTCTGTAGTAAAAGCCTGTTGTACCATTAATACAAGATGAAATCAAGTCAAACATAAACAGATNCATGAGTGCCCACTGAAAGTATTCCTCCTTACGGAGTTCGCGGAAATGCGGAGATATGCAGGACTGCTGGTTAGCACGCTGAGTGCATGCGCGTCTCGTATTAGATGGAGTGCTGTAGGAAACACTTTGACAGACATCAGTATTAAGTACTTTAAGGCAGGAGTAGGAAATTCATTCACGAGACGGTTCGAATCAGGGCCGTATAGAGACTTTTGTAGGCCCTAGACACTAAGACTTGAATGTTAACGAACTAGGAGGGCAAAAAAAAAAAAAATACGGTTTCGCAAGAACCGCCTAGTTTTCCCATTGAGGCCTAAACATTTACACCACCAAAGTACTGAGTTAAGAGAATTTTACAGGATTACAACACTTATCACATATAAACGGACAAACATGATTACACCAATTGGTGATCTTAGCAACTTTTAGTTGCGAATGCGCCTAAAAAGCGAAACATTTTAATTTTTATAAACATTGTAATTTTTCCAAACGTGATGCCACATAATTGTTTTAATCAAAAATAAATAAACTAACAAACAATTCATAATTACCCTTTACTGATCAGTGCCCTGGTTCGAAGTCAAACTGCATTTCCTTTTCCGGGCAGTATGGATGTTAAACCAACATATACAACCTTGTACGATGGGGTACCCAAAAGAAACCGAACTAATTTTTTTGTAGGCAGAGCTTTTGTAGTACCGCGTTTTGCCGCTATGAGCGCATAGAGCTAACATTCCTGAGTCGATAAGCCGACTACCGTTGCTTCAGAAGGTAAGGACTAGTTTCGGCAGAGTTTATAGTGACAACTGTTTTGTGTGATCGTCGTTTTTGCAATGGCTGATTTTCGTGAACAGCGTGCGGCGGTGAAATTCTGCTTTTTGCTCGGGAAAAGTGGAACAGAAACTCTTGAAATGTTAAAAACGGCGTACAAGGACGATGCTATGGGGAAAACTCAAGTGTTTGAGTGGTTTTCCCGTTTCAAAAATGGTGAAATGTCAATTGATGACAAACCTCGTTCTGGTCGTCCTTCCACGGCCCGAACACATGAAAATGTTGAAAAAATTCGTGAAATCATCAAGGAAGATCGACGACGGACCATTGAAGAAATTGTGGAGCTGTCGGGAGTGACTTGGAGCTCAGCGGCCAGATTTGTGCCAGTCGGGTGACTGGTTTTTCCATCATGACAATGCCTCTGCTCAACGACAATTCTTGACCAAAAATGGTATGACCCCTGTTCCTCACCCTCCATACTCACCCGACCTTACCCCGTGCGACTTTTTTTTTTGTTTCCTTGAATGAAAAGAGACATGAAAGGAAAAAACGACGGAGGCGCTGTCAAGCATCTTAAAAGATGAATTTAGACAATGTTTTGAAAAATGAATAAAAGACTAGACAAGTGTATTAGTGTAAGTGGAGAGTACTTTGAAGGGGATGGAAGGTTTGTGCTCAAAATTTGAATAAATAAGTTTAAAAAAATAAGTTCGGTTTCTTTTGGGTACTCCCTCGTATATCAAGGTGAAAACATCGTCTTCAAGCAGCTTCTAGATCAAGCAGAGGGGTAGCTTGCAGTGTGTCTGAATTATTACACTAAATTGTTACCAGCGCTCACATGATTAATGCGACACAAATTGGTGATTAAAGCTGTTGACAAGCTTGGTTTAGATGTTCGTATTGCAATGCTCAAAATTGCGGTCATATGTTCGTCCGTTTCCATACGCTAACTCAGATTCGTTACTCTTAATTAAAGTTAACATTTGTATGAGGATGCAAAAAACTTTGCCCATGTCAAATACTTAATATTTTATATCAAATCCCTTAACATGCTAAGGAAATGAAATTAGAATGCTTTATGGAGTTTAAATTTTCTGTTGTGTCACCACACTGCATATCGATCAGATCATACTGAAAATGATTTCGTATCTTTTCAAGGGCAACGAAGGATGCTCACATCAGCAGTTTGATTTCATTGCTTTCTTTCTATCATTAACAAGTGGTACATTTAAGTCGTGCACTTTGCTTTCACACGCAGTCTTGATTTGATATAAAAGCCGTCAAATATTGAAACAACCTTTACGAAAGCTAAAGTCAAAACTTTATCCTTCAATCTTGTTACAAGCTCGTTTCTAGGGACTACTGTGAGTGCTGTATGACGTAATGAATAAAATATGAAGAGTAAATGTAAATAAAGGACTAAAAATTTCTTACGTATCTAAATTGACACTGGAACGGACGGTGAGATTAAAAACTGACGTGATAAGTGACTAAGTGATAAGTCACTTCAGTTTAAAAACTGATCGAGAAACAAAAAACAAACTCTGTGGTCTTAGTCCGCAAGCGAACTACATGTATACCAACCGAGCTACCTCCGCTTGCCGGCGAAGTTAGTGCCAAGATCGTGAGACCACACAGTGAAAAACATTTCTAAGAAACAAGTATATATAAAATTAACTCCTCACGAACAGTATGCCAACTTCATAGTCTTTATGAATCTGAATTTCGCAGTTCCCTGGTTGACGTTAACAAGAATCTTCGCCGACAGCAGATACATATGCTACAATATATCTTTTGACAGTGTGTAGTTTATGTACTTCATACAGCTACGAAGGCTGTCAGAAAATCAATCTGACATTGTTCCTTCATGCTTCGTAACCAAAAGCAAGTAAGGCAGCGTTGGCACAGCGACAATGTCAAATTGTTAACTGCTTTAACTGCTGCTAGTCACTTGAAATTTGGCGTGGACGGACAACGGTGTTTGCACAAAGGGAATAAGATGTAGAAATTACTACAAAATGGTGTCTATTCACATGTATTTTCTACGGAACTACTGAAGATTTTGATGAAATTTGTTACTTGGTTTACACTGAAATCTAATGAAGGAAATTTATTTTTGTTCATATCGGTCCAATATAAACACCTCTTTACGCGAGGTTCAATGTGAGCCTAACGGTTCTTTTCAAAAAAGTTCATCATGCAAAAATTCTACACGACATAAATCACAGATGTCGACCATTGTAATACACTCGTTTACCTAGGCCTGTACTTGAAATAATTTCTGATACAGTGAATATTTTGTAAGGCAGTTATATGTACACTGTAAGACGCTTTGCAATAAGAGATTTGTATCTGTATTAAATGAGCATGGAGACCAGCAACATGCGCAAAATCGCAAGTTGGCCAGTTCTATGAACAAACCGATGGGCTCGCCACTTTCTCCAGTCATCTCTAACCTCTATATGGAGGACTTCGAGGAGAGGGCACTTGACTTGGCCCCACACAAGCCCCGCTGCTGGTTTCGCTACATGGACGACACCTTCGTCATCTGGCCACACGGTCCCGACAAGCTCAAGGACTTCCTGAACCACCTAAATAGTATCCACCAGTGCATTCAGTTCACAATGGAAACTGAAACTGAGGGCCACCTCCACTTCCTCGATATACATATTTACAGGAGACCCGATGGTTCCCTGGGCCATAGAGTATACCACATATCCACCCATACAAACATCTACCGTAACGCTGCGTCCCACCATCACCCTTCCAACAAGCAAGCTGCACTTTCCACATTGGTGCACAGGGCTAGAGCACTGTGTGATCAAGACAGCCTACATGTGGAGTTGGTGCTCCTGAGGGATGTATTCAAGAAGAACGGATACAACAACCGGCAGATCCACAGAGTTCTCAACCGTCTGTAAGTGTAAAGTCTGTAAAGTGTAGTTCTGAGAGGTGTACAAAAGTGGCCAATAAATCCAATTCATCCAATCCATACCCCGTCTATAGTCACACACAACCCTAAGTCAAGAAAATATGCTGCAAGCTTAAAAAAATAAAAATGAGATTTCACTGGATTACCTTCAGTTTATTTCTTACAATCATAATCAGACAGAATTACAAGCATTATAACACCTTCACACAAACCTATCCATCCTAATCTGGTACCCGTTTCAGCCAGTGTCTCAGTATGTCTCATTCTGTCAGCACGACATGTGGTTCTTCTCATATCATTCATATCAACAATGTATATGCCCACCTACAATGCAATTTTATCTACTGGTCCTTGCTTTTTCAGTTAATCCCAATTGTTTATCAATGATGATATTCAACAAACGCACATAAATACACAATGAGATAAACTGTAACATTGTCCCCAAGCTTAAGAAACACCATATTATGAAGGTGCAGAAAAGAGTAGAGGTGCTTTCCAAACCTCAGTATCAGATGTAAGAAAGCAGTCAGCTTCATGCTCTGGCCAGTTTACTCATGAGGAAGATGCACATGATACTGAATAAGAGGCCAGGTGACCTCACAGTTTAGACATGGTAGGAAAGAGAAAAATTTCTGTATAAGATCTGAGGTTTTCACAGCGGTGACTGTGAAGAATGCCGTCATCTGGGATTTGGCGCCGTGTAGATCTTGTGTGAACCGACATTTTGGAGGAAAGTATCGCCTCAATCTTCAGGGTAGAAAAATCCGCGAGGAACCAGCATGAGCAGATGGTTGCATACATCTGTTCACACTGGCTCCCCATGCTTGGATTTTTCAACCTGAAGATGGAGGCGATACGTCCTCCAAAACATCAGTTCACACAAGATCTATGTGGCGCCACATCCCAGAAGACGACATTCTTCAAAAAATGTATGCTTCTATCAGGAATAAACCTTGTCATCTAGATCACTGCTTAGTTCAGAAGAACAATAACGTCTGGAAATGGCAGTTACAATTCAGTTCAACAATTATCATCTCATCTACTTTCCCAAAGGATTAAAATCTGGATAAGAAATAGTACATTTGGTCATCCCATATGGGTATGAACAGGGTCTCTTATTTTAGGAAAAGAATGTATATTATATGTCACAGAAAACAAGAGCTCTGGAAAATTTGCGAGACAAAGATGCATAAAGTAAGCGTGCTATTTATGATATTACATGATGAACTTCTACAGGTTCCCTAGTGTTCTTAGAATAGGGAAATCAAGGTTACATTGGGCTGGAAATTTAGCTAGGATGGAGAAGACAAGGAATGCATACAGAATTTTAATATGGAAATCTCTTGGAAAGTGGCCATTTGGAAGATCATGGATATGAGAGGATAACAATGTCATGGCTTACAATGAACCATAATTTTTTCTGGCAGAGATTAAACTCTGGTTTAAAGGTGTGTTAACTAATTTAATAGATAAGTAAGAGAGGAAAGGTTAAAAGAACATGATTTCATAAGCACACTGCTGTGTAGTGTTTCATGGAATGTATGGAATACGTTGGGTCTCATAAAGCTTCTCGTATTTAATCACATCCAAAAATGAATAACCATTGCAGGTGAGACAACAATACACCCATCAATCAATTAATGCAATATCTATTTTTAAGCTTCAGAAAGATTGAGCCAAACTGGGCACACATTTAGTGATTACATTTTAGTGGAATGGCTTGAGAAGAACCTATTTGGTACGAAGAATGAGATCCTCACATTTATTTACTTTAATTTAGTGAGGATGAAGTGTAGTTTGTATACTGCAGTCCTTTAGTAAGATCCATAGAAAATGCAGCTTCACCAGTATGACTTCGCATGTGCTTGGTAAGGCTGTTTCTCTGACCAAAACTCATTCTGCACACTGTACACTGAAAAGGTTTCTCGCCTGTATGAGATCGCATATGTTTTGTGAGGTCATAACTCTGAACAAATCTCCAACCACATTCAGTACAAAGATAGGGCTTCTCACCCATATGCGCTCTCATATGATTGGTTAATGTACTACGGCGTCCGAAGTTGTTGCCACATACCGCACAATGGAAAGGTTTTTCACCCGTGTGTGACCTCATATGTTTAGTGAGTGTGTCACTTCTGCCAAAACTCTCGCCACAATTGGGACACAGGAATGGTTTTTCACCTGTATGTGTAAACATATGCACTGTGAGCTGCCTTCTCCTTGCAAATTTCTTCCCACATTCAGTACAATCATATGGTTTCTCTCCTGAATGAGTTGTCATATGTAAAGAGAGTTGATGTTTCTGAGAAAATGTTTTTCCACATTCAGGACATACAATGTTTTTCTTGAACACTTTTGTCTTTGTGCTTGATCCAACCTTCATGGTACTTCCACGTCTCTCAAACTTTACTTTATTCACTGCAGAAGACACACTGGCACAGGAGTCTGGATCACTGACTTCAGTATGTGTCACAGATGAAGGCCCCATATCCAACTCCAGCTTTACATCCACATCTGTTGTTCTGTTTACTGTTCTGCTTAAAGAACTTGAAAAACTCTTAGGTTTAAAACTTGTCTTCTTTACTGAAGGGCTTGCTGGTTGTTCATCTGACCTTTCTGCCTTAACACTGTTACCATCTAGTTGCATCTGTGACCATACATTGTTTTCTTCTGAAAAATCATCAGCTCCATGAAATCTGTAAGGAAGTTATATATTAATTACACATTACACAGCAAGTTTGAATATCATATTTATTTAAACTCTGTTATTTGAATTACTCAACTTATACATGCTATAATAATTTAATATTGCCTGTCCATTTATGAAAATGCTTTCAGCCACTTCAAAATAGAAACAGTCTACAAATTAAAATAAAAAGTGTCCATAGCATAAAACATCACACAAAAGTTAAATGTGTTGAAGCTTTTGGATTTGTCCTCCAGTTCATATCTCATCACAAACAATCAAGCCAGGGGAAATATGAAACAAAAGAGAGAAATATTTATTTCACAACCATTTTCCATAAAATCACTGGTAAGCAAACTGTTATTTCACATTTTCATACCATAGAAAATGATCTCAAATATTAAGTCAAAGAAGGAATTAAGAAGAACAAACACAAAAAATAAATACTGTTTTCTGGGATGTGATGCTGTGTAGTCTGGTAGAAGTTTACCAATGTTTTGGAAGAACACACTGCCTCATCTTCAGCGTCGAAGAGTAAGCTAAGCAGGCAACAAGCAGTGCTCTGGTTGCTGCCTGCGTGTTGCATGGCTTACTCTTGGACACTGAAGATGGAAGAAGTACATTTCTCCATAATGTCAGCGAACTTCTACCATACCTCATCTCTGAAGACAGTACTTCATACAGTCACTGCCATGAGAACCTCAAATATAAGAAGAAAAAATATCTTTACTTATGGCAGCATGCTCTACAAAAATACGGGAACTGCAGGATCTTCAACAAAATGTGAAATCAACAGAGTGCAAAAATTACTGTGAAGAGAAGGGGTGTACAGACATCTGGAGTAGTTTCCTGCATGAACCACCAGAAGCTAAAAGAAACAAAAGCCAAAACGTGTATTAATTTTATACACATTAATATACAGTCTGAATTTTATACATATGGGTTAGTATATTTCATATTACTTCTCATTCATTGAAAAGTAATTAAAAAGTGATCTTCAGTGTAGTGCTTTGTCTTGTTCTTTTACATTCTTATGCAACATACTCTCAGTTCACACCACAGCAAGACCCCTTATCCAACAGTGCTGCTCCTGACACTAGTTCATCCTCTTCAGGTGTTTCATCAAAACAAGTGCATGCATACCTCTTTGTGTAAGTGGTATGCGTGCACTAAAAGATCCTGCAGACTATCTAAATTGGAAGATAAAAGGCATAAAACAGACAATGTTTGGGAGTGAAGAAAATAACAGCTAATGGAACAATTCCATGGCATGTCCTCAGGTTTTGGAGGAAGAAATAGTCTCCTGCAAATATGTTGAATAATTAATCATAGACAGTTGACAAGGATAGTCAGCTTGAGAGGTGGATGTAGGACTAAAGTGTGTTATAAATTCTCAACAGCAGGCCTTGGAACCATGCAGATGTTAGGCCATAACTTAAACAGTATAAACAACTAGCTCAGGGCAGGTAGGATTCAAATGTTAACAACTTCTTTGAACAGTGATGAACTTGTAGATTCTAATGGGTTCTGACAATAGTGTATTGGCTCTTGACTCAGCACCACACAAACCATTGCTGTGGCTCCAGTATGTTGATGACACATTTCTGGTTTGGCCTCATGATCCAGAGTGGTTAAAGAATTTTCTCAGCCACCTCAATAGTTTGAGGTCTTCCATCCAGTTCACTATGGGAACAGAGTCAGACAGTGTGACCCCTTTCTGAATGTTCTGCTCATCAGGAAAGTCTACTGGAAACCCACCCACACTGACTGATATCTCAACTTCAAATCTGACCATCCACTGCATGTGAAAAGAGGTTTGATTCAGAGTCTTCACAATAGAGCTTCCACCAAGCCAAGAACAAGATGTGTTTAATTAAATTAGAAGCCCAAGATGTGATCTTCAGCTCAACAGTTATCCCCAAGGTTTCATTGACTCAGCCATTAATTCCAAGAGTAGCATTCATCTAAATAAAGAGGAAATGCCTCTGGCCTGTGTATATTCCATATGTGAAGGGCGTTTCAGAGAAGTTCAAACACATAGGGAATCAATACACTAGGACAATCTTCAAAACCAAACACACTCTTAGGAGTTCACTCTTGAAAACCAAGTCGAAAAGAGATCCACAACAGATGACACAGTATGTCTGCAGCATTTCCTGTGAACATGGCAGAAGCTACACTGGCGAAACAGGCAAACCTCTAGCCATACAGCTCTGTTAATATAGGCACAATCTCAAAGAGGGTCTTCTAGAAAAATCAAAATCGGTCCAACATGCCTATGAAAAAGGCCACAGGCTGCGATGAAGCTAGGATTTTGGAAACTGAAAGTAACAGCAGGTACAGAAAATACAAGGAGTTGGCCCCTATGGCATGCTTAACCAATCCAATCAGCCAACCCAGCTTGAACACTTCTCCCATCTGGATCCCACCTTACCAAACAGATTTCTTCATGGGTTTCTGTAAGGTTTTAGTTTTGAGTGTTCAGGTTTTACTCCACAGATGGCCCTAGTGGTATGCACTATATGTCTGCCCAAATTATCCATTTAATTTTATGTACTGGTGTTCATGAAGTTGGTTTATTGGCTAGCTTTGCAGCATAAATTCTATCACAGTTCCACAAAAGTGCATGCTTTACAATTTTTATTGCATATTTTTCTGCTATCTCCAACATAGCCTGGTCTCAGGTATTTAAAGAGATGTCATGAATCTGACACTGGTTGTCCAGTGACTGAGGTTAGCTCTTCCTAACTGACCCAACAGAGTTAGTGTCTTCCCCACCTCCTTAGGATGGAAACAGACCCAGTTTCCAAAATGTTCTGTTTCCTAGTTTTTAGAATACTGGACGATGGACAAAATATGTAAACCCAGTAACTCTGAATGATAAATTTTCCATAAAAGTAGGGAATTCTTAACAGCCAACAGGTCATTACATTTTCAAGCTATACCATTTATTATGGAAATAGTTAATGCAACACTTAAAATTGCCTAAAAAATCAAGACACGAACAACAAGTAAAATGAGAGCTTCCTCTCTACTGAAAGTGTGCTTATGCATCATCATACTGTTAATGCTAATGATCAGTACCATGAAGGCACAGAAAGGCATAGAGGTTAACTTCCACACACACTGTATACCTTAGCATTAGAAGATGTAAGCAGTCAATTCCATGCTGTCACTTCATTATACACAACCATCCTACCATTCAAAGGCATGTAGTGTGAGAGACAGACAGTGTCATTAAGCAAACCATAAACAAATTAAAAAGTAAAAATGATGTACTGTCAACTTATTCCAGAGAAAGATTATCTGGTAGCAATTAGTCAGGAGTATGGGAGGGACTGCAATGGTGACAATATCCAAATACAATTTAGGTTTGAAAGCCCCAATGCTGAACAGAAGGCTCCAGTTTTCATGCCCAATAGTAAATGTCTTAGCATTACAAGCAGAACATGAATTTATAGAACAGAGATTTGTTGCAAAAGCTGGGACATATGGAGAAACATATCTAACCTCAGATCTTCTTCTTCATCATCATCATCATCATCATCATCATCTATGTCGTTTTTACGTTCCTCAATGGAGACTTCTACTACTTCATCCTTCACAGATGCAAGCTTCCAGCAGTCATCAAAACTATCAGTTCGGAAGACAGAGTGAAGAATTTCATTTGTGCTTTCCTAAACAAGCAGGAAATGTAGAATTGTATTACTAAAGCTACAAAACAGAACACAATTAGAAAGCCGCTAATTTTTATTTATGTAAATTACTTGCAGTGCAGATATCCAAAATATTCTTCTATTTCTAATACTTTAATAACTATTTTACTTCATTTTCCATTCAAACTATCTGGATCCAATGCATACCTCCCAAAATTACGTACACGTGCATTTGTGCAAGTGTGTGTGCGCACGCGCGTGCGTGCATGTGTGCACACACGCACATGTCTGTAATCTGAACCATATAATATAATAATTTAACATAATTTTAACAAAGCTATAAAACTAATGTGTTTTTCATGAAAAAACTTCATAACATGTTATTCTGGATCTCTACACTATGTATTACAACCTATCAACTGAAATAATGATGCTGGTTCAAACAAAAATACAGTTATCCCTATACATAATTAAGTGCCTCACCATAAGGATGTAAAGGAAAATGGAGGTATAGCTCCATGCACTACATAGAAGTGGCAGTTGGCTCCACTCTCAAGGAGGAGCCCTCAAAATCCATGGGATAGGAGGTTTGGTGGCACCTAGAGTTGGTCTAGATGCAATGATAAAGGGAAAAATCTCTGCCCAGTCAGTCAGTTGGGAAAATACAATGAAATAAAAAAATATTAATAGAAATACATAATTATTGCAAAGCGAGAAATCATAATGTTCATGCATCTTATTTATTACTATA